TTGATGGTAATGGACACCTAAAGAAACCCCAGAATGCTCTGATCCCAAACCAAGTTGTTTCCAAAAGCCTCTGTCCTCAACACATGAGTATAGAAAACAAATGAAATTCACCCATCTAGTGATCATTTGCAACCTATATAAATCAGTGAACACGGATTTCAGATTTGGTTTTGGACTTGCATACCCATGTCATATCCCCAGCTTTGGTGGTTGGTTGTTCTTAAACTACCGTCATTTACTGGTAAGTTGTTTTCTATTGTGTTCTGATACAATGTAGTATAGTATTTCCCCACGTTTCCCAACAGTAGTAGAACCTATAGTTTCGAAATACAGCATCTATTCCTCACATTCCCCATAATTATGTATATATAATATACATACACTATATAATATTTATTTATGTATATATATATATGCTTTGAAATGAACGAACCATACTGCGCAGTTTTTTTGGATCAACCGCTCCACCAAGCTTTAGCCATTTCTGCAAGTTACCCAGGTGGAAACCCGCAAAGATGATGATGGGGACAACCAAGGTGCGTTGGGAAGTCGTGAGGTACTCCCGGTTCCATTTGGGATGAGAACTTGCAGGATATTGTTACTGCCATAAATTGTCCCATGTGTTGCACCACATGGACTCAAGTCTGGTGCGTTTTGAATGGGATGCAAGTTTAGCAAGTTTGGGCAGCGCGCTGTAAGTTTGGGCATTTGAGCCTTAATTTGGTTGGTCAGTGGATTAATTTCGAACCATAAATCAACAGATTTCTATCATCCATTAAAAGGGGTGTACCATTAGCAGCGGACATGGGGATGAACACAAACAATAAACAGGATCATGGGCGAATTCATCAAATGATACATATAGATTTGTAGATGATGAAACATATGTATATATGACTATCATAATGATACATATATAATATACATATCATCAAATGATTTGTAGATGACTCATGGATATGGATCAGAAGTGGTGCGACCCTGGGAAACACAGTCCGTTGCTGATCAGGTGAATTGAACTCCTCATCGAAAGATGATTGGAGGTGGGTGGCATGTAGTGGTCAGGTCTGTAATGCAAAATCGAGGCAAAGTGAACATTTTGGTAGACTGTGGAAAATAGCCATTTTATAGATGATTTACCATCTTGTTATTTAACATAGCCATGGAAAATCACCATTTTAAATAGGTAAACCATCTATAAATGGGCCATTTTCCATGGCTATGTTAAATAACCAGAGGGTACCTATCAAGAAGCAAAATTGTGTATCCTCTCCTTTCTCTATGAAAAGTGCACCAAACACTGGAAACCGATGGGCCTGACCGAGCCAAAGAAAGGATTGACCAAAGTGCCCATACATCGTACAAAAAAGTCTCAATGTGCCAAGTTAAAGCTTGGATATAACATGGTAGGATCCAACTGATCTACGTTTTCCATAGAACCATCCCACTCTATGCTTGCCATATCTTACCATAAATCACAGCTGAGTGACTGAGTGAGTTCCCCCCGGCCGAGGACGAAGCGAAACGCACACTACCGAGACATGGCCGACGCGTTTCGCTCCGCACGGCCCGAAAAGGCGCCCCTTGAGCGATGTGGGCCATGTGGGCTGGTCCTGGCTGTTGATTGACATTCGGGGTTGTCTTTAAAGTTGGAACCCTGAATATATATATATATAATATATATATATGTATATATATATAATATAATATATATATATTAATATATATATATATAATTTATAATTAAAAAAATATAATATTATAATATAATGTAATATATTATATAATATAATATAATATAATATAACATAACATAACATAACATAATATAATATAATATAATATAACATAACATAACATAATATAATATAATATAATGTAATATAATATAATATAATATAATCTAAAATAATATAATATAATATAATATAATATAATATATATGTTGTATACATGGTGTTGAGTTTTGGGGATGTCCCTCACGACACAAACCTGTCCGGACAGGGAATGGTTCAAGGTTTCCGTATTGACAAAGCTGAGGAGGATCCGAGTTTTCTTCTCAGCACCCTGTTGGCATCCCCATTCCCCAAAAATGATCCAGATAAAGCATAGAAACCTCCCCAGTGCCTTAGGCGGAGGGGAATCATACTAAATGGTTCATGTCCAAGTTTTGAAGTAATTTGGTTTATTCAAGGAAACAAAGGTTTTTCCAATATATTAATTATATATATATATATACACATATTATATATACATCGGAGGTTCCGGTGCCAATTTTCCCTTACACCAGTCCACTGATGTTTGAGATTTGTTTTTAATTGCCTAATTACAATGACAACAATCAGCACGTCATGCTGGCGATATTCTGCCTCACTTGTGGGGCGTTTGTTGAAACGGTGGTTAACCTTGGGAACAAACAACTTGCTGATTGACTCCCGAATCTGAGGGGTGCCGGGCAACCCGGCTGTGGCCATTTTTAACGGAAAATGTGGGTCAAAACACCCATGGGATTTTTGTGTGTTCCATGGTTTTCCCCGTTTTTTTTCTCAGTCAAAGCGGTAAAGCGACCTCCACGGGATTTTTGTTGTGCCATCCACGGGAGGGGCATGATGTGTTTTTTCTCTTTCGATCTGATCTTGTTTGAATTCTACCAGTGTACTATATTGAAATTGTTTTTGGGTCAAAACCCTGGTACCCTAGGGTAATTTCCCCAGTCATATGGTAATTTCATGCAGTTTCATAGGTACCTTTACCCATCCCCGTATAATACTTCTGGGATGGGTTGAAGCCAACAACTAATGGTGAGGCGTTTTCCACGGCCAGGACAGCGACAGTGATTGAAGAGCCTGTTCGTCACGCTGGAACTGCACCACCCTGGCGAGAACTTTCTTTGTAACAAGGAAATGCATCCGCATCTCTGAGGAAACATATGCATAATGATTGGCATGCTAGGTGAACATGAACTTGATTTGAGATATTTTGATACTTCATTGTTAGTTTTGAACTACTTTGATTGAGAAAAAGGCTGGATCGAAAGAGACATGGAAATGGACTTTCAGTCAGTTCTCTAATGTTGGCCATGATCCATGCAACATATTAGAGGCTGCCAGAATCTCGTAGTCCCCAGGAAAAAGAGAAGACCCTTTGTGCAACTTGGGGAAAGACCTGGTGATGTTGATGGGTCGTTTCTTGATCGGAAATTCCTTAGCTGTGGCAGCCAATCCACAGGTGGTGCTTCTTAAACGGGTCATGCATTGTCATACACCTATACCTGACCTATCCACTACTGTATGCACTGCAGAGCCGCCAACCCTGCAGCGACTTTTTGGTGCACTTCTGCGGAGAGCCATGCAACCCAGGTAGTGTGTGATTTACATTGATGAACCACAGATCTCCACAGTGCCAGGGTGAATCGCAGCCGGCGTTTTTTCTCGGCCCGGAGAAGAGAAACGGATCCGCTGTCACTTGTTGAAGATGAAATTCACACCGATAGAAACCTTACAATTCAACCAATCCCAAACTGGATGACAAAATATCAAATTTTTGGTAAAATAATTGCAAACACATCAGGAAACCAGAGATCCCCATGCCTGGTATGTCAAGTTGGTGCGTTCTCGGGTCCAGCTTGAGGTCGTAAGTCCACCTTTTTCGAAGGCCAAACCATGGTTCGTGGTTTCAAAACGTTTCGGACATGTTGTTGGTTGGATTCCATGCCTAAAAATTGAGTATATAATGAGTTGAAGCGGCTTCATATGTTTTGTTGGATCCGCAGATACTGTATAGAAACACCCTGAAACTGAGATGATCATGAGGTTGATCCCCCAATGGTACCTAGTGTTTTTTCTTTTCGATTGTGACCATTCAGAAACCACAAAACCAGGTCTTTTCAGAGGTGAAGATTTCTCAAGCTGCGATTCGCTGCGTGATTCGACTCAAAAAGGCGAGCTCATTTCAGTGTGTGCAGTCGCACCTCAAGGAAAAGGACTCCGAAAAAAAAAATGTGAGGGAAATAATTCAATTAAAACACCTTCCAATCTGGATACACTGGATAAATATATAATTATACATATATACATATGTATATAATATGGTATAATATATATATATATATATACATATTGTGTATATATATATATGTGATTATATATGATAATATATCTATATATGATAATATATCTATATATGATAATATATATATATATGATAAATATATATATATGTGATTATATATATATGTAATAAATGTGTATGATATTGATTATTCAAGCTGATATGCTGTGACAGATTAACAGCTTTTTGACCGGGACTTCTGAATTTATATATATATATATATGTATAGAATGATGATCTTGCTGAGAGATTTTTCGGATCGGTTGAAACCACCATCAACGCTACTCCGTTGGGCCTTCCCCACAAAGCCCACCACTATAGTCACTGCGACGGAAATCTCAGATTGCCCACGGAAGGGGGTACTGGGTAGCAGATTGCAGATATCAACAAGACCTGGACCTGTGATTCCTCATGGCCATCATAGCCAGGCAGGTGGTTTCATGACCAAAATATACCAAAATGGCCCCAGTGTCAGTAGCGATGAACATGGGTAATAATGGGTACAAACGCTTTTTTCCCCCCGATTGAAGATTCATTCAAATATATGAGAAACTGCGAAGGTCTCACCCACTTTTTTCATTTTTGTTCATTCTGAACTGTTGGGGGTTGTTTCTTGAAGCCTGGTCAGTGAATCCCTTCATGTGGTTTTCCTTAGCCTGGTGCAACTCTACAGGCTGCAGCTTTTCCTACGTGATGTGAAGGTCACCCCAGCCCCAACGTTTTTTATTGAGAGTATTCAGTGTATCGCTTGGCAAACAAAACACACTTCGAAAAGACTTGGAAACCGATTATGAGAAGATTTGTTGTTTAAATGACTAAAAGTGTTGAATCACCTGTTTAAATAACAAAAAGTGTTGAATCTTCATAATCAAATAATGACCCACCCAGCACGGCACCCTGCGTTTAGCGCTTTGAAGCAGCTCCACCATGGCTGACGCTCTGGCGTCATTGTCCTTTCAGGTGAGGGCTTCTGCCAGGAGCGCCAAGGATCAAGGGTTCAATCGAGGCAAAATACACAGTGAATAGGTTTATGTTTATGTAAATAGATTGATATTAAGGATTGTATTATTAATTCTTTAAAGGATTGTATATTAATATAGCTTAACAATATATTTATACATGGAATATTCATGGAATATTCATGGAATACCTCTCTTTTTTAAATAGATTGCCTAGCCCAACTTGGTGATTTTTTCGGAAGATTCCATCCCCCTTGGATCAGACTCCGCCGCATGATTCACCAATTGGAGCTATGAAATATGACACAGTTACGGTTTGTTGATGTGAATCCTCTGCAACCTGCTAGGGAACCTGACTAACCTGACTAACCTGGAATTTCAAAGATCATCCTACTGCTATTGCTATTGTAGGTTTACGGCTAACGAAAGCACTGCATATGTGGAACAGTGTTTCACATATATTCCTTTTGCCGCTCTAAAATCTATCCAACAACCACAGATTGCATAGAAGTTGGAACTGCCCCAATCAAGTTTCTGCTGCATCGTTCCACCATTTTTTTGTGTGACGAATTTCACCCAGGCTCCCCTTGAGGGGTGCTAGAATCTAGTGCCCCCCAGCAAAAGTTGGTTTATAGCTCCCATCAAGCATATATCTACCATAAATCACCATAAACATATGGCATATATCTACCATAAATCAATGTTATTGTTTTATTGGAGTTCTGTTTTACTAGCTGAGCTAAGGATCACAGTCGGCACCATTTTTCAGCAACTGGCTCAGGTTTTGAGTGATTAGTATAGCTCGTTTTTTTTTAACTTAGGGACCCTATTCGGGATATTCCATACCAAAAACGGCTTGGTGTCTCCCCCAGGTTCGGCCTCCATGAATCTCCGCGGTCCGAAGGTCTTAGTCATTGGCAGCCGCAGCAGTGGCAAGTCCTCCTTTGTTCGCGCCGCGTGGAACGAATCCTCCGACCACGCGGCGGGGGAGGCCGGGAGGCCGTGGTCGATGGCTATGGATTCTATGGATTCTATGGATTCTATGGATCCAATAGCAACTGAACTACTGAACTACTGGGATAGGGGGATGAATATCGAAGGTACAGTTAGATCAACTGTATTTTTGATGGGAACAGAAGGGTACCAAGTAGATGCTTATCATATCTCATCATCGTAGGGCCTACTTTGTAGGGAAGCTTTAAACGTATCAGGGTTGCACCAGCACAAGTGGATGGGGACACAGTTAACCCTGAATAATTCATCGGATAATGAAGTGAAACATGACAACATTCTGGTTTCATTTGCAATCCATGTCCACCCCAATATAAGCCTCCAACTTGACATACCTTGTCGGTTGGAATACTGATCTTTGCTGTCTACTCCCTTGCAACCTGCCGCAGACTCCTACTGGTAAAGCCGACAACTAGACCCACACAATAGACCCTTGACACCACCAAAGCTTTCCAAAGCTGTGCGTCCCATGTGGGATTTGTTTGATGTTAGGGTACCCCAATATTTGATTAGGGTACCCCAATATTTTTTGGGTATACAGGGTATACAGTATACATATTCCCCATGAAATTGTCATTCTATATGTATACCATGTATACCCCATCGACGTGGATCCCGTTTTGGCACAGGAATCCGCCGACGGAGTGCAGATCCGCAAAGTGGTGACTGGGCGTCCCGGGATTCCGGGGAAGATCGGCTTACCGATTCGTTGGCTTCGTTCGCGGGAAAATGGGAACCAGAACCCCAACCCCACCTGGTTGGTGGTTTGGAACATGAATTTTATGACTTTCCATATATTGGGAATAATACTCTCATTTGACTAATATTTTTCAGAGGGGTTGAAACCACCAACCAGCCACATGTCTCATGAGAAAACCATGGTTTCCGGTGAAGAGTTTCCGTTCAAACCAATCCAAGGACTGATTCCTTGCAGGGAAATCGATTGCTATACGCTCTGGTAACCGTAGCTAATTATGCACAACCGCAATTCTTGATAGGTTTTTTTCATCTGCAAGCAGGCCATTTTTGGTTGATGAAGACTGAAGATAGTAACGATAGTATAGATTGAAGCTTTTGATCCAAGAATGAGAAGGAAAGACTGGACAGTGGCTGCGACTGAGCTGATGCTGTAGGGTCGAACAAGAAAGAATAGAACCAGAAGCAGCAACCAGCAGAGAAGCTTTTGGTCTACCCCCAGCAATGGCCCCACATTTGCGAGAAGATGTAGAAAAAAAAGTAATAGGACATGACTCTTATTAAACACATGAATGGACCGAATTGAGCTCTTGGACCCTGCTCATTCATATCTTCCCAGTCACGCCTCCTGAGAAGCCATTTGAACCTCAGAAGGTCATTACTTGGAGTATCGATATATGGCTGTTAGTCAAACAACCAAATTGATGGAAAATGTCAACACTGTCCACTCAGTAATACGTGTTGGCAAGATTTCCTTTATTTTGTTGGTAAGATATGCCCATATTGTTTTGATAAGATTAACAACTATATGCCATATGCGTCTTGTTCAGATTAATATGACCCCCATGGTATTTTGCCACATCCCATATGTATCCATATGTGGTCAAACTTTGGTAACATATGTAGAATATTGTAGAATGTATCTGGATGATCTCCATCTCTTCACTGGCCATTTCTCCACACCTTTCCAACCCGGTGAGCCGGCGCTGAGACCTCCCTTTACAGCACCTTCAGCACCGTGGTGGACTTTTTAGAGATGCCGGCAGAGGCGCCGGGATAACAGTGCTATCTCCATCTCGATGTTTCGTAGGAAAACTTGGGGATGAACTTCTGTGGATCTTGGGGTTTTCGCCAGCAAAATCGAGTGTTGGAGCGCCCAAACAACCAGCAAAATGTGGCTATAACCACAAGAATCGTTGCTTTCAACCGCCACAAATTGATTCAGAAGCCCGAACCACTGAACGCGTTTTTCCAAGAAAGTGGATTACCATAGTTCTAACATATTCTAACCAATCAATAGATGGCAGATTGCTTTACTTGCAACCGAGGAATTTCAACATGGACTCCTTGGAAAACTCGTGCAAACCAGACATTTTGACAGCGACCAAGAGATTGTTGGACATCACCAGCAATAATAAGAAGAGTATAACATCGGAACCAAACAGACCATAACTCTGGTCACTGTCAGATTTAAGTATTCATTGTTGGAGTGTGCTGTTACCCATTCCCAAATGGGCTTCAAGGGGCCACATCACCATTTTTTCGATGAGAACTGAGAGGGCATGGCCTGTTTCTGAGGCCATGGACTGGGCCATAGGTGTTGCAACACACTGCACAAAGATCGGAGTTTGTTCTCTATTGGAGGTTCAATCTGGTTGGGGGTTTGGAACCATGGAATTTTATGACTTTCCATTCAGTCGGGAATGTCATCATCCCAGCTGACGAACTCATATTTTTCAGAGGGGTGGCTCAACCACCAGCCAGTTTTCTGTTGGAGGTTCCGTTTTCTGTTGGCTGAAAATCAGGAGACCATGGGATGTGGGGATCCCATGCTTCGAACAATGGTTGGTTCTTTCACCATATATATATATAAGCAGAAAGGTCATCAGAAAGGTCATCAGAAAGGTCATCATCTAACATATCCTACATGTTAATATATAAAAGCTTCCTAGCAGAAAGGTCATCCATAGAGCATGCAAATACCTTCCCCTCTCCAGTGTGTCACACCACAACTCCACCAATGCAATCGCAACGCAGCGGGGCTGCCAGGATCGCTACGTACCACTCCTGCCGCATTTTGGTTCGGGGCTCGGCATATTTGGCACAATCCCCAATTAATTATTGGTGTTTCATCGACCATTTCCGCATTCACACGATTTGGGAAACATTTGGGAATTAGATAATTAAATGTTGAATGGGGACACAGTGATTTAAAAGTCTATGTTATATAGTTTACCCTAGGATACTCCATTTAATGATTAAACATGACCATTTGGGGTATAATAGGGTAAACAAACATAAATGTGGAAGAGATTGTTGCTTTCCCATTCGGCACACGAAAACGATCTACACAGGCTACACAGTGTGTTTTTTTCCATTTTTTCCACGTCTAGGTGAAGCGTGCTAATTAATGGAACCTGAAATGTTTGACAAGGAGAGTTCCCAATGATTTTACTACTGGACAATACCATCCTTTTTGGTGTTTTGTAGAGCTTATTTGGTGGTAGGACATCCTCTAATGGACTACAGCCATATCTTGGGATGGTAACAATACTCCCATGTTGGGTTGGTTTCAATACTGAAAATCGCCAGGTTTGCCAAGATGGTAACAAGATGAAATAGATGTAAAACATTGTAAAGCCATATGCAGACCTTGGGTCTTGAGATTTTAAACAAAGATAAATTACATAGGTATAGGAGAGTTGGGCTATTTGGGGATGGGTCAAACGCTGCAATGTAATGTCATAAACCATGGAATAAACCCAAGGTCAGCAGTTTCTGGTGATTTCAGGGATGGTCCAATGTTGGGTATACCACATCCAATTTCGGATGGTGATTTGACCCTATGGATACAAATACATTATACATCCTAAGAACCCATTTGGCCACCTTTTGTTTAGAGCTTTTGTATTTGGATGGGGAAACAACGTGGCCATAGCCATGGAAAAATCACCAGCCATAGTTCGAGATGATCTCCAAACAAAAATAGCCAGCTATAGTTCGGGCATTTCCCAGCTGACCTGTTTGGTTTTATACCTACATTTAACTAGATGATTTGCCGATTATATCCCACTTTATCAGATAGCCCATTGTTAACATTATTTAACACCACTCATGACCATTTTTGCTGGTGATTTATCACCATTAATCACCATTGTTCCTATTGACATCCGTATCTTTGATGGTCAGTTCCCATTGTTGATGGTGAATTCCCACTTCCCATTATTCCTGTTATATTCCCATTCAATAAATGGGAATAGAATGAGAAAGAGAACTAGTTTTTATAGCTAAATACAGAGAATCCCACTATATGCCCCAAAGAAACGAGACATGAGGCACGTTCTAAGCCCTTGTAAGGGTGTGGCGTAAGCAAAACTGTGGTGCGCGTAAGCCAGCACAAGCTCCGCGTAAGACAAGGTATGCGCGTAAGCAAAACGCAAGCAATGGCGTAAGCATTTCCTTATTTGGTGCCAGGATGTAAGACATTTAGAACATGGCTCATATGTTTTCCTTCAAATCATATTCCCATTGCATGTCCATGAAATCACCATGAAAACCACCCATTTTATCGTGATCGAAATAGAGGTGGCTCTGCCGCCTGTATCGCGCTGGTGGTCAACATCGCTGATCCTCATGGCCACACAGTGCCTGCGCGATGTTGGTGCAACTGGGTGAACTGTGTTGGATTGTGCTAGGTTTGTTTATAACCATATCTGGTTAGCGGTTTGGAACATTTTTAATTTTTCCATATATTGGGAATAGTAATCCCAACTGACTAATATTTTTCAGAGGGGTTGAAACCAACCAGGTATAACGCCATATAAATTTGGTTTATGGTGAGTATGTGTGATTATGATATGCCAATAACCGTGTATAACCATAGTTACATGGGGTTAGAAGCCTAAAGTGTTGGTTTTATGGTGATTATAATATGTAATCTCTTCTCCCTATTACTAAAACTCCCGCAAGCAATAAACATAGGAATGGATTGAATTGGCATTTTTCGTTTTTTTTGGTGGGTTGCAATTGCGTTCTTAATTGTGGTAATTGAAAATCAATAGGAGAACAGGATGGTGAAACAATGGGTTCAACCGCCTATTAACAAAAATAGATTGCTACCTGGAGGTTTTTTTATTAGGGTTCCATCTAACAAGTTTGTTTTTGTTTATTTTTATTATTAAGGTTTTCATTAGAATATTAGGGAAAGAATCGAAATCCAGTGTTTGGCAATATTTTATATAGATTTTAAAAGGATTTATATAATCAACTTTGACTTTGAAATTGAATGTGTTTATATTTTTATTATTAGGGTGTTCACCCAAATACAAAATATCCTAATAATAAAAATAGATCACCGTGTTTACCATTTGGGGGGTGTTTGGTAATAGGGAGAAGAGCTTAAATAGCCATTATAACCATAGTTAGATGTTTTTTTTTAAGGGTACATATGGGTACATCTCAGTCCATAAACGTGTTGGAAAGCCTTGAACCCATGTTTTTTTTTTTCCAGGGACTTGCGGATGAATTTAGACTTTTCGACCTGACGTCACGACGTGTTTATGGTCGAAATGAATTCAGGGAAGCACCCCGCACAATGACGTCACTGTGTTTCAGCGATGGTCAAAGTTCAACGGATATGGATAATCCCGTCATCCCCATCAAAGCACATGAGTTTTTTTGCTTCAGTTTATCACAACATGTTTTCCGCAAAGTCCCCCCATTCGTAAATGATGGAGGCTATTCATTTTAACCATTTTATGGTACGTTTCTGCATAAATATATGGTGGACCATCCCCATTAAATCGTCCATTTCTATTGATAACCACTAGCACTGATCAGCTTCGTCTCGCCCAAGATTTCCTGTTTGTGGATCATCACCATTTATAGTTGGTTACTATGAATGATTGTTAGAACCCAAGTAGAAATCCCTGTTCTCCAGCGTAATTGTATCACATATTAATCCGTATAAATCATTGAAAATCAGATATCATTTACCATCTGGTTATTTAACATAGCCATGGAACATCCCCAATTTTAATAGGTAAACCACCTATAAATGGGCCATGTTCCATGGCTATGTTAAATAACCAGAGGGTAGTGCTTAGATATTCATTTTTGCTGGTTAAATATATTGTTTGGATCATCCCCAAATCCCATTGTTAGGAGCTGCGAATTTTCCATCACCATATGTGTCATGGTGAAAAGCTGGAGTCTGTGTCCATAGTGACCTGATTGGTGGTGACTGGAACCATGGAATTTTATGACTTTCCAGAAACAGTTGGGAATGTCATCATCCCAACTGACGAACTCATATTTTTCAGAGGGGTGGCTCAACCACCAACCAGTCACATGGTGGGGGTGATCATCAACTCTTCAATAAGGATTTAGATACCCATCATGAGGATTCCCCAATATGGGATGGCTGACCAGGCTGACCATATGCCATGTTTCGACCCTAGCACATGTGATTTGTATTATCCATCACATAGGATGCATTTTGATTGATGGGTAATTATATGAGCATAGCTCACTTTCTTGGACTCTCAATAATGTTCTTGGTTTGTTTACCCCGCTGATGAACACCCATTATCCGTAACAAAATCCGTTGACAGTTAAGTCCCCAATGATTGTAATTCCTATTTTTTTCCCAACCACCAGCTTGAAGATTCTTGGTCAATCCCCAACAGTCCCTGATCATCCCTAGCGTTGATAGTTCTAAAAAAAGCGCGTGCCCAGGATCTCTGCAATCGCCTAGCAGCTCTGGGTGCTCCAGCGTTGCTTGGATCTCTATGGGAGATGGGGAAATTGAGAACTAAAGTTGATAAGTATCAAGCAACTATAGGGAAACTAAAGTTGATTAATATGGGGGGTTCAAACATCCATATTCTATTGGGAAATTAACGTTGATTACTCTAGTTGATTGATCCATAGTCATCGGGTACCCCAATAGCTGGATGGTTTATAATTGAAATTCCCCATTGAAATGAACGATTTAGGGCTACCTCCATTTTAGGTTTCTCCTCATATGAGGGGAAACTCAAGTTGATTTCTATGGGATTATTGGGGTTTCCCATAGAAATGGGAGAAACATGGAGGTGTCCGACATTTTCAGGGTGGCTTCACCAACCAAAATGGAGGCTTTGGGGAGACCAAAGTACCAAAAATGGTAGCCGGTCAGGTTTGTAAGAATGATCACCACTTCAATTTTTAATGGTCAACATGTCAGGTGTGCCTTTAATTGTTTATAAAAACTCATAAAAAATATGATGAATAGAAGGAAATAGAAGTAATGCCTCAGCAATGTTTATCAAGACTTGAATACTATTGCCCCCATGGATCCAATCACTTCCTTAGAAGGGACGTCTGGATCCATAGGGATTGGACGCATTGTTTACAGGTCACGGTTCGTCAGGACGCAGGATCTAGGCAGCCAAAAATATGGATTTAACCAACAACACTAGGGATATAATGGGGACAATATATGGATTATTTCATGTATGTAGATGCTTGAAGCAACCAATGCCGCTGACCCGGCCCATATCTCTACAGATGGAGACGAGATCTTCACAAGTGGTAAAATCTCACCAATCAACCAATCAAATGCAGGACATGAACCATAGATAATTGGGATGTAACTAACATGTTTGGTGGTTTCAAGTGCTATTTACTTCCATCCTAATTTAGAGATCTTAATCCTACTGGATCATTGTTTTGAAGCTTAAAACCACCTATCTAGAGTAGAAACCTGAAAATCTACAAGTTCCAAACCCTTTTTTGTTTTTGTTTGGGTTTCCCGTTCCAAGTGATATGTCCCAAAACATAGCGAATGCCTGTGGGTATGTGTTTTGTACGACTCTGTCATGGGGCTGTATATAGTCCTTGTTGTTTGAATTCATGGTGCTGTCATTGCAGTTTTCTCATGCGCCACACATCCCTACACCACAGAAATCGGTTGTTTGATGAGGATTGTTCAGCGTTTCCAAATTCGATCCCAAGATCTTCAAATCCATTGTGTATCGCACTGTGATCACAGGTAGTCTCTGGGTCCATCTGGTGAATGCTGCAACCAGGAAGTATTAGCGAACCATACACGGAGGATTTTCCATTAACAACTGACTTTTTGAAGGGGTTCCTGCAATTCGCCATGCTGTTACTTCAACCAGTCTTCCTTTGATCGTTGTTCTTCATTGGGACATCCACATCATTTTTGTCTCCAAAATTAAGGTTCTCACATGTCAACCACGTAGAAGGGCGCCATTTTTGGAAGGTCATGTTGCACCACATCTCCGGCAAACAAAAATCATGTTCGAAAATCCTGCAAGATGGGGATTTTGGTCAGTCTCCTTTTTTTTGTGAGATCCATTAACTAATCCCATAATATTCGAGTCTCCATCAATTTAAGGGATATAATTCTCGAGTCTGCTCCCGCATGGCGATTTTCAAGGTAAGGCCCCCCCAGTTATGTTTGTTGGTTTATAAAGCCCCATTGACTGTAGTTATATCCCCCATAAACCCAACAGTTCACCCATTCATAAGAAAACTTAGCTATCATAAATCAGATATATCCCAGTTGTAAATCATAAAATCCATGAAGTCCCCATGTGTGTTATGTAGATTAATCACCAATTTGATCAATTTGTGTTAGCAAATCCCATGACATCGCCCATTTTTTTCGCTGAAAAATCTCCCAATAGATGACATGTGGAGGCCCTGTGGCTTGCTGGTGGTGCAAGGCTCCTTACCAGCCAGCGCAGCCTCCGGTGAGGCAAGGGCGGCAGTTGAACTTGGGGTACGCCAAGATAAATACAAGGTGGATTTAATATGATTTCAGGGGATTTCTTGACATTTACTGGGATTTGAAGGGATTTACTGGGATTCTATTCAGAATTTGATATGAGTTAATGGGATTTTTCCGGAATTTGATGGGGTTTAGTGGGCTTCATATACTGTGTTTTTTTAGTCAGGATTTATATAATGGGGTTTACTGAGGGTTAATTAAATAAATGGGATTTTGTCAGCTAAGACGGTACACTTCTACCCGTTTCCATTGGAAAACTACTGGGATCTACCCATTAAATATAGGGTTTTTTTACCATCAATAAGCTGGATTGGGTTACGAAAACCAACTTATAACTAGGGGAAACCACCTTGTAAAATAAGGATCGAAATTGGCAGCGAAACCGTCATTTCTTGTTTGTTTGGGTATATAAATTGATAGATGTTGGGGGAATCTTGAGAGCGTCATTATGTTTACCTTTTTCTCCATCAAATGTGAACATATACTGTAAGTGTTTCTTTTGACAAAACATATCGAATCAAGTTCTCCAGGGGGGTTGAAGAAATGTGGGAATGGGTTAAACATTGCGGTATGCCTAAAATTAGATGATGAATGCTATCTACTGTATGACATTATATTACCCACAAATAAAATGTATTAAAATGATAGTTTTACACATAGCTTCAGCATCCAATCTATAGTTTTTTTGATCAGGAACGGAGACGTTTGGAGCCTCTGCGAGATGTCGCCGCGCGCAGGGAGTCCAAGTTGGTTTATAACTATAGATTATAGGCGAACCAAGGTGGGCCCCCCCCAGTTATGTTTGTTGGTTGGATATAAACATATAATGTCAACCCTGGATTAATAAACCCCTAGATTGTTAAATTGAAGGGGTACCATTTAAGTATTGGATTGTGACTATTGGAGGAGTACCCCCCTAATCAATAAACCATGGTTTATTAATCCGGGGTTGACATTATATATATATATATAAAATAAATATCACCATAATGTACAGCCAGGTGAGCCCAATGCATTCCTGCGCCACTCTGTTTTTAGCTCAAGTGAAAAGGCGCTCCGCAGCGCTCAGATTTGTGAGTAAATAGTTTTGAAACACCAATACACTTTTAGAGTTGATAATTCCATGCCAAGATGAAGCAACAAGAACCTCCATGCCAAATTTCAACCACAGCATTTCCGCTTTCCAGCTCCACTCAGGTTGGGGCTTGAAGTTCTTGCGCTTCGAAAGCCTTGAACAGATGGAGAAGGGTCGACTTCTGCATGCGGCACCCTGGCATCACAGCATGCTATCTGGTGAGCAAAGTCGTTGAAATCATGGCAATAGCTGGGGCATACTGGATTTCACCATGGAAACAGTGCGGATTTTATGTTGATTTAACGGATTTTAATGGTATGTTTAAACGTTTCAACCATGATTTAAGCATGATACTCGCTGTTAATCAGCTTCGTGGCTTGCCTGCATCGATATCTCACGATGCATATCCTCCGTACTTCGAGGTAGGACGCCGTTGAGAAAATCAGTCAAGTTTCGTTCCACTCGGAAGGGAGGTTGGAACCCAAACCCAATGCCACCCAAAAACCAGGCTTTTGAAGTTTCGGGGAAGAAAACACAAGAAATCGGCCAGAGTCAACATGTTCCTTTTTTGTCCTAAGACAGGTTTGGGTCATTCAGAGGAGTAAACCATCATCCCTTTGGACGTTCTGATCCAGAACTAAATGGGTCAAACTTATCTATACAGAAACTGTGGTACCATTTGGTGACATACAGTGTTGCAGACAAACAATGTTTGGTACGGCTACCTGGTTTGGGTAGTCTATGGTCTATAGTTTGCTAAAGTTTGGTCAATTTTGTTAGGCTACCACTAGATGGGGTTGTCCGAAACTATGACACCCAAAAATCAGGGGCTTCGTCATCATTTCCCATCGTGGAAATTTGGTCGTTTCAAGACATACATCTTTGTTGGCATCCCCAAATCAAAGATCATATTGTTGGTTATTTCTGAAGTATACATGAATTACATCCCATTCTATCCCATCAAAATCCCATCATACCCCATCATATTCCATTATTTTATATTAAATTATATGAAATTATATTATATTATATTATATTTATATACCATAAATGCAATTAAATCCCATAAATAAATCCAGCATAAATCCAACATACATCCAACATAAATCCCATACATCCCATAATTAAACCTCACTAAATCCCATGTTTCATCCCCCTACCAACTCCCAAGGTCTGCGACTTGGTCCTTGGAGTTGGGGGACCAAGTGGACCTGAGGTCCGGTCCTGGGGAGTGAATCAAAAGTAAGTAGGGCAGGGGATGGGGTACGAGTTTCACCCAGAATAGCTATATTTAGATATATGAGTTATATATTTTTATTTTAGTTTTATTAGTTATTATATATATATATATTAGGATATTAGGATATTTTTGTTTTTATATGTATATATATATTGGCTATTGGTTTACTATTGAAATATGGAGTTTAATCAATAGATGAACTATTAACAATATCTTGGATGATTGGTTGCGAACTACGGACTTATACTACGTAAGTTGCAGGGGATTATGATACATAACCCATGGTAGGGAAACCTATCAGCCAACTAGTATAATGCGATGGGACAGGGGTATCTTTGATGGCTCGAATATCAAAAGTAAATGGCCAATATAATCCATTACTTAACTAATATTGTATTACTAATAGTATCCAATAGTTTTTCACCAATGACTCGAAGTATATGTTACAGTGGACCAATGTTTTAACTAATAGTGTATTAAGACAAGTATTTGTTTATATCTAACTATGGGAAATAAATAATTTGCTGTAAAAGCAAAATCGCATGTATAGTAACCCCAAAAAGATCGTGTTTCCAGGATCGTACGCATGATATTTATCGCATATTTTTTAGGTTTCCAGCTAGATACTATCTATTTGGGGACGGCTTTATACAATGGCGAAATGATCCATATATATATATATACCATTATATATGGCATACATTTGGTACGTAATGGGATTTATATCATTAGCACAATGGATAAATTATCAATACAGTGATGTGATTAACTGTTTCTCCCGAAACAAAGCAGTTTATGGAGGCATAATGGGGTGCAATGGGACATAGCAAACCAACAGCTTCCAGGCAATGGGTGTTTTTGAAATTGGTGATTTAGCCTCCAGTCATGGCCATCATTGGCCAGGGAGATGACCCACCATGTGAGATTTTGGTGGCCCTCCCTTAAGTTTTCAATCAACAAAAGGTCAGTGTTTTACTTCGAAAGCTACGCTGGTGGAATATATCATATCCCTTACAATGTGAGGCCCCCCAGTTATAAGTTGGTTTATAAGCCCCAGTAACTATAGTTATAAGTACCATAAACCATAGTTATTGGAGTTATAAACCAACTTAGCTATCTTGGGGGCCTCACATTGTAAAACACACACACTCTCTCTCTCTCTCTTACTTTTTTCAAGGGCTATTCACGATCGGTGGACAGAGAGCAGCAGCTATCCTCAGTTTCCCATGACCCGTCCCAGGTTTTGAGTCAACCATTTATATACTGTCGATTTGATGCTAATTTGGTATCCAAACAATTTGATTCACTTTAAATGATTAGATATGTGAATCTCATAATAGCGTTATTGTGATGTGTTTCCCACCACATTTGCTTACATTAGTTCTATTTCATCTCTTCCCTGTATGGTTTAAATTCACTCAGCGCCAGCCAAGATGTAGTGTACATTTCGTTGCTGCAAGTTCCACCCCTTACTAAAATTCAAATTGAAGGAACCAACAGTAGGGCCAGGTGGCAGATGATTTGAACATTAAAAAATGAGAAGAGCGATTTTTGAACCCCATCTGAGCCTGGACCAGTCATTTTCTCAGCTGAGGACGTCCCTGATGGAGCGGATCCCATCCATTTGGTGGGCCGCCGCGTCACCCGCAACTGAGATTCACCTGGCACCACGGCGCCCAAGATGGGCGCCTGCCACTCGGGGCAAAAAGAAGGGTGGCTCCAATGTGGCTGAAAGTCATATCTGGATGGTTTCCTTATTGATGTGGTAAACCCTATCATAAACCATCCCCAGAGATTGAGGAGATGTCTCCGACCGACTTGTCTTCGGAAACTCAGCTTTTGACTGCGAGTTGCCGACAGCTGAATCACAGAACCTTTCCTGCTAAGAAGGAACCTGAGATATTTGAACTATCTGAACTGATGGGGTGTCGTGACTTTTGCGGATTGCAGGTAATCATGCCATTCTGGGGTGAAGACCCCGGTGGAGACTGGATGAATCTTACATGGACCCTGCCCCAAGCCTCAACGCCACCGTTGGCTCATGGCAGTGTGGTGAGTCAGATTTGAAAACGGGACCGAACCACAGGGCCTTCCATGGCAGATGGCAGATGAGGCGCGATGGTGGTGTGGCAGGTGCAAAAGCCATGGCTGAAGCAGAACCAGCCCTACCGCACCTTTGCTCAGATGATGGGCGGAAGAGCAGTGCTGTTTGGGGTAACGGGAAGATAGGAGAGTTCGGGATGTGTAAATCGAGTGCATGGTCTCAAGTCGGTCAGTTGGAAATGTTCTGTCGCCAAAAATAGCATAGCATCAAGAGTGATGGGTGTGTCTGGAAAGGAGGTCTACCGCTAAGATATGATGATTCAAATGATAAAACATGGGATTTTGAGCACCCGATATTTTCAGACAAGCAGCAGTTCTTGAGTTCCCATCCAGTCCCAGCCTTGTCGTCATGGTGTTGCTGCAGGTTTTCTCACCATATCCATTTTCCATCACTTTCCCAGACAATTTCATGGTAAATCCCCATGTTGACATCTCCTGGTACAGTTCTAAATTCTCACTGATTCTGTCATTTCTCATCGATTTTTTTCATCAAATCTCCATTTTTTGGCGGCTTCACCTGCTTTTTCCATTTTTGAGCCACATTTCCAATGAGCTTGAGCCAAGTTTTCACATCAACTTGAGCCAACTTTCATGGGTTTCATCCCTGTTTTCACGCCCAGGAGCCAACTTTCCCATCCTGACCGGTGGCTATGCCGGCTACGGCGGCAAGGGCCTGGCCAAGGGTTGGCAGCCGCCAGCGCGGAAGCCGCCGCCCACGGTGCCGGCCGACTATCAGGCAGATGCCGCGGGCCAGGACCACTGTTTACTGGTGGGTTCGAATAGGGGATTTCCAGGGAGTTCTTGGGGAGAATACAATGGAATATAACTGGAATGTAACTGGAATATAATCCCTTATAAACCCTTATAGTAAATGTATGGGAATCGTCTAACAGATTGCTATGGGGATATAATGGAATATGACTAATAAGTGGATATAATGGGATAGCCTCTGGTAATTTAAGATAGCTATATGGATAACGACAATTTCGTTCCATGATGTACCTATTCAAAATGTAGATTTTCCATGCCTATATATATATATGATGGTCCAGCGTTCCAACCCCCTCCCCCCCCGCCATGGTCATGGGTCAGCCATAGTACTGTCCCCCTCCCCCCCTGTGGTGTGGTGGGGGTGTGGTACTGTCCCCCCTCGCCCCTGTGGTGTGGTGGGGGTGTGATATATATATATATGTATATATATATATATGTATATATATATATATGTATATATATATATGTATATATATATATATATATATGTATATATATATATATGTATTATATGTATATGTATATATACACAAGTAAAAATGTATGTAAAAATGTATGTATGTATATATGTATATATATATATATATACATGTATAATATATATATATATATGTTTGTTATATGTATATTTATATATATATATATGTATGTATGCAAGTTTATAAATATATATATATGTATATATATATATATGTATATTTATTTATATGTATATATAAATCTAAATTTGTGTGTATATATATATATATATATGTATATGTGTGTGTATGTATATATATATATATGTGTGTCTAAAATATATATAGGATGTATATACATAGCATATGTATATATATATATAACTATAGGTAGTACGTAGGTACTTTGAGGGAGCATGTGTGCTACGGAGGTCGTCTAAAAGGTAGCATGTACCTAGTAAATGTGAGGCTAGTAGTCAGAATCGCTGCAAAAACCTGGCCAATACGAGGCTGGACCTCAGAAATGCTGCCAATAGCTTGCAAATAGAAGGGAACGGGGTGCTACCTGGGGACGCAAACCATTGGGGTGGGTAGGAACACGGAACACGAGACCATAAATATATATATATGTTAAATTACCAAAGGGTATCCAGTGTTGAACGGAGAGAGCAGTGAGCTGAGCGGAAACGGGTATCCATATTCGCTGGTTTTCCATGGGGGAATGGTTCAGAGTTACGATAGAAAATGAATGAACATCATGTGGAACAGGTTTTCTTGCAGGTGTCACGATGTGTCACGCAAATCAACTTGGTTTTAAGGCGGAAACTCCTGAGACTTGGGGTTTAAGTGTGGACTCACACTCGCTATTAGGAGGATGGGTGGTTTTCCTTGGGGATGTTGCAGACTTGAGAGAAGTCAAGATGGTGAGAGCTCGGTGAGGTAGTGCGTTTATGTGTTGGGGCCTCCTGCAAAAGGCTAGTGTTTGGGGTTTCGTTTTTTCATAATTGATACATTACACAGGAAGACCCGCAAAGACCTCCAACAGGGGGACACACACACATACATATATATATATATAATGATATATCTATATATAATTATATATATATAATTATATATATATAATTATATATATGTGTGTGATCTGTATTTACATAGTTCTTGATTTTTTTTAATTCTAGCAAAGGGATGGTCATACCTCGGAAAACAACACCGGAACCCTTACTTTGGCACTCCAAAAATAACTTTACGACAAACGGCAAGCAAATCATGTTCCTAGACCCCAACTTCCAGTGTCAAATTCCAGCCCTGAACCAGCTGAAAGCAAATATGAATGTCTCAACGAGATTTGAAGATTGATTTGTGAAAACTGAGATTAATGTCAATGATTGGGATGATTTAAAGATATTTATCATATTAATGCCCCCCAAAAATGATGTTGTACTGAAGATTGATTTGTGAAGAGGGGTTACTGTTGTTCCATTCCATGACAGTGGTTCGGGTGCCAGAGACTTCCCTATGGCCTCCATGTACGTTCGGAAAACGCTGCAGTGCAGGTGGACGTCAATGCACGGTACTTTGGCACGGTGATCTTTTATCACAAGTACAGGGGCTATGGGTTTCTTGGCAAAAAGTGCCTGGCAGCCACGAGTGGCCAAATTTTTAAGATGATCCCAAGCGACCAATCCTCGATTCCGAAGCTCGATGCGGCATCATCTCCGATTTGCAAAGAATCGAACTGTGGATCTCCCTTCAACAAAGGTCCCTGGAAACACGATTGGATACTGTATAGTTATAAGATATAGATATATAGTAACCCCCCAAAAAAAGTCAAAAAGGCTCAAGTTCTCACAATTTGATGAACAGGAGTTTAATATCCATTCTAGTGTTGGGAGCAGTTGCTCCATAGAAAAAAACACAGCCCCTGAGGTTCATTGAGCCAATGGAAGCTGAAATCCCCACCGAAAAGGTTGAGTCCTTGGCGGTTTTTGGGTGGCGTGCAAATTAAGCATAATTAAGCAACAAATGCACAACATCTGAGGGTAGAAACATGTAGAAACATCTGTGAAAAAGAAATGATTCAGCGCGCTGGGTTGGTTGACGTCTCTGCCTTGGGATCGTGGATTCATCGAATTCATCAAGACAACTGTCGCTCGCCTGCTCTGAGACAACAGAGTCGTGACAACTTGTCGACAATCCCCAAGTTTGGTTTTCAATTTTTACATGTATACGGGAGAGTGCTGTGAGTGCTGAAGATTTTGGTGTTTTTTCTCAGCTGGCTGACTGTTAAGTGCAGGTCTTCGTTCATTGGAAACAGATCTCCAGCGACGATCGGTTTCCGATTCTGGTCAAGGGACTGGAGGCCGACGGCAGTTGGAAGGGTGGAGATATCATCCGTTGGAAACATGGGAATACCCTCAGCTGGGAAATCCCCGACCTAAATGGAGGTTTAATATGGTTTAATTCGCTGGGAAGATCATCGAAGTTATATAAGTTATTCTGGATCTAGATGTTGGATTCTTCCAGAAAGCCATGTGTCACCAAAGTAGATCATCGTAGCTCATCAACATAGGCAGGTGGCTATCAAAACGGTCCATCCAAAAACCCCAAGATGCAGCCATTTCTTGGACAAGCTTCACGTGGGTGGGTAGCCAACGAAAACTTGCTGAACTTGCTGATTCTGTTTAAGAGATAGTTAATATAATCATATCGATTCCCAGTATAACATAATATATTAATAATACAACAAATATTACAATAAACCTACTCCCGAGTTGGATTCTGCTGTGAAGATCCTTGAGCTGTAGCTATGTTTGGTTGAATTTTCTTCACCAAATGCCTGGAAAGACGATCCAGAAACCTCCAGCAGCAAATTCTACACGGCTTTCTCATGAAAAATGATGATCAACACATATGAGGGCTTCGCCGCATGCTTAGATCTGCCAAAAAATCGGGAACATATATATATATATATATATGTAGAATTAAATATATGTGTATATATATATACGTATATATAATGGAATGTATACTGATGATGAACATTGATCCACCACGGGAAATAAATCATGGATCTTGTGCAGGATGGTGCCCCCAGTCATAATTTGGTATATAAAACCCATTAACTAGATCGTTATATCTACCATCAACCATAGTCAAGTCACTTATAAGGCAACTGAACACTACCCTCTGCTAATTTAACTATAGCTATTGAACATAGCCATAGAATAGTTGATTTCCCCATTACACATGGTGATTTTCCATAGCTATGGAGCAGTTTACCAGGCCGGGTATCTTGGGGGCCCTATGCTGTAAGGTTTCACAGATCATTTTCGTCGACGCTCAGGTGGAGTTTAGCCTCATGACCTGGAACCAGCGGGGCCTGAACACCCTGCGCGCCAACCATGTGACGCTGGTACGCGAAGCGAATTTTGCGCTAGTAGCGGTAGCTGAGGGGATGGGATATATATTTCTAGCAATTTCTTGCCCATATTCCAGGGCCGAACATATTCCATGCCAAAATAGCTGGGAAATTTCAGGGAATTGCGAAGACCCCTTTCAGGTGAAATTTGTATTTCATACAGTTTGCCAAGTACTCCTTTTCTTCTGGCACGTACGTTGTCGACTGCACATGTTCTTCCGCAAAGAAGATCCTTACTTTCAACAATTTCTGGAAATGTCATAATTAATAATGTTGAGCTTTCCAAAAATGGATTAATAATGTTCTGATGGGAATTTGTCATCTACACTTTTCAGGATCTCAAAACCCAATTCATAAGCTTTAAGCTTATGTTCTGGCACGCTTGGCTGGCCTTTCACCAGCAGCGCCATCCCCATCTTTCTTGACATCTTTGTGGCCCCGCAAAGAGCCCTGCACAACAGGATCTCGGAACACAAATCATCGACGATCCTGTTTCCTTCCGTGCAAACTAATTCCACCGATAGAGTACGATGCCACCCCTGGAGTGCGCTAATTTTCTGGAATGCGAAAATAAAACAGTATGCGTGGCCCCCTTCGACCTTCCCCATGGATCCAACACCAGTTTTTTCCATCATATACCAGAAAATTATCACATTTCACCCTGCTGAGCTTGTTTTTTTTTTGGCCATTTTTGGCCAAAATGGCCTGGAATGCGATAGTATGTGAAACTACAGACGTCTCACGCGAAACCGCTACCTTGCCCATATTCCAGAAAACGTGATTCCAGGCGATTTTAGCCAAAAAAAAAAAAACGGAAAAAAAAAACAAAACGCAAAAAACGAAAAATCACCGAGTACGAAGATTTTATGGAGTGCGAAGATCTTGCAGAGTGCGTGGATATTATAGTATGTGCACGTCCCTAGCTGTGGAGTGCGATGCCCTCGCTGGAGTGCGAAGAATTTGTGGAATGCGAAGAATTCCGAGTATGCGTGGCTGGTATAGAGACCACATAGGGAAATTTCGGGGCCAGAACCAAAATTCCAATCCCAAAGCCAGCCCAAACTTCCAGGGGCACACCAGTGGGTTCTATTTTTCCGAGTTCACCTTGGGTGAGGCCCCGGGGAAGAAACTTTCTAATTTTTACTCAGCCAACCTTTAAAAACGTTACCCTTGACAACCCTGTCCTTCTTCGGTAGACAAATGAAGAAACTTCCTTATCAAAGCAGCCTTCAATTCATTCAACGTCCACAGCTGCTTTGGAACGACATAGGGGATAGAAAGCTGTGGAGGGGCATTCAGTGGATTCGCCGTGGCCCAACTGTTCCCTCCAGATTGAGCTGAAATGCCTATCAAAGTAACATACCAAAACCCAGGTCTGGAGTACGATGAAAACATGGTATGCGAAGATTTTCTGAATATGGGAATGTTGCCTCTAGAATATTACTGTTTCATAGCGTTTATAGTGATATATGGTAGTGACACATTATAACCAACTAGTTATAACCAGTTATAGTTATTTCATCACGTTTAGAATTTAGAACTGGCTATATACGGAGCCCCTAACTGTGGGAAATCGCCGTGGCCGCGCCGGTTGAAAGATATTGAAAGTAGCTCATGGCTATTCAAGATTCCACCAGCGCTTGGGATATTCCGTTATGATGGTGAGGAGGTAGGCTAATATCCGACGTTAGACCTCCCCGACCATGCATCTCAATGTCATGAATAGAGTTTGACCCTCGGATTAGTTTGAAGCTTATCCCAGTTTCATATTCACTTTTGATATCCCATTCATATCCCATTCATATCCGATGTATCCAAATCATCGGCCACTTTCGCCGACATCGCAGGTGGGTGGTCTCAATATCGCTCTCCAAGATGAACTGGACGCCAATGAGAAGATGTTCGTTGGTGGCCAACACTTGAGAGACCTGGCTGACCTGGGCGGGAAAGTGGCGGGAAACTCTTCGAAAGGGGAGGCAGAAACCTATCATGTTTTGCGCAAAACATGGGCAAAACATGAAGTTCCGGTGGTTTCATGGAAATAGAATGAACAAATGAATGGGATTGGGGATATTACTGGAATTTAGGTTCAGTTACTCTCCAGTGGCTGGCCAGGAAATCCACGGAGAACTTTCACCCAGCCATGTTGGATTGCCGGAGGGTGCCCAAAACAAGGGTAGCTAAGGTCAAGCTTTTCAAAAGTAGGGTAACCTCTGGTAATTTAACGTAACTATGGAAAATCACCATTTTTAATGGGAAAATCCACTATAAATCACCATTTTCAATAGCTATGTTAAATTACCAGAGGGTAACATATCTATATTAAATGATGGTATATTGACGGTTGGTTAAATTTTATAGATTGATGCCATCATAGATTTATGGTATATTTCAGGAACCTATACAAATGTCATAAATGATTTTAAATGATGGTTGGTTCATGGTTAGGGGGGAGTGTAAACTGGCTGGTTTCATGAAATTTGTTGGAATGACGGGTACAAATACAGTATCAAACAACCACCAGAACGGGGTGATATAAGGTTTTGATTATTTGGCCACTTCTCAAGTGGCCAAGTAGAGATGAAGATCAGTGTTGGTCCTTGCGAAGCGGTGCCAGCTACGAGGTCTTAAAAGTTGAGCTATCCCCAACTGCATAAGACCCTGGTGGTGGCAAGACTACAGTGAGATGAACGTCATTTCTCTGACGTTCCCAAGTGCAAATCAGATCAACACACTTGATTTGGTAGGGATTAGCCTTTGGTAAACTAACAGTTTGCTATGGAACATCACCATGCTATTCATGGGCAATTCACTATTTCAATGGTGATTTTCCCATAGTTATGTGAAATTGCCAGAGGGTAGCCATCTGTAAATTTCCATAACCGTGTTCCCCTGGGAAAACTCCACCAGGGAAACCTGGGATTGCGCCCAAGGATACACGGGGACCTTGAAATTCTACTCCCCAAGGCGCCCAAGGGTGGGTTCTTCGGGTCAGCATGGCCCGAGGGAAATGTCTTGGGTCTTTGTTTACTATATAAATGCTGTCTGTGATATTGTGTATAATATATCTATATAACGATATACGATCTTAATATATAACTATGTATTAAGATTGTATTATGCCATCATATGTCATCTTATATGTTGTTTATTGTTCTATAATATATATATATAATATCTGAAGATTTTGAAGCTTCATTGGATGATCGCCAGGCACGGCTTCGGCTATGTCCTCATGGATCAAGGCCGCTGGAAACATGGGTGGTTTATTGATCCACTGGTGATTGATGACGCATAATATAAGATGGAAGAAGTATATGGTTCTTAATGGAAAATGGTGATTAAATTCAATCATTTTTCACTGGATTTGCTGATATTCACTGATATTGCTTGAATACATGGATGAATCACACTCTGTGAACATTATTTGGATCAGAAAAAGACCTGAATGGCGATTTATGACACAACTATGCCCATTCAAGTCCCTATTCCATTCCAGAGATGGATACTGATATCTATCCTTATAGTTAGGATGGAATAGGGCCCAATTTGACCCTATACAAAAAATTGGATCCATGGATTGAATTATCATAATCCATTGAAAAACAATGATCCCATTGGGTCCATTGGGGGTAACCTGCAGTAAACTTCCAACTATGGAAATCCATTGGTCGCCGAGGCTACGATGTGGATGCTAGTGTCCCCGGCGAGCTGCGAGTGGATCATGAGGAGGTCACAAAGTGTCGCTGGATGTTTCACATATAGTAACATGTGTTTATGTGATAATCTGTGATAAAAAAAAAACTGAATAAGTAGCATGGATATAGTTATGGTATGTTATTCTTTTCTATATGCCATAGTTGAATGATATATAATGATGTATAATTATTAATAAAACCATTTGGAACGTGATTAAAACATGTATGTAACATCTACCCTGCAGCTCCAAGCACCTTCTGAGGCTGGTTAATTTGGAGATGGTTTTCGGGGTCTAAAACCTTCCAATGATGGTATTTCGAGCATTTGGAGCACTGCTATAGTATGAATTCTATATGCTATAGTTCAATGATATACCATACTATTTGCATTATGGTGCTTTGTAAATGGTTACTTACTATATTCCACTTGTGCGTAGATCAATCGGTTATTTACCAAGTTACACTCCATTTGCTGGGAATGATATGACATCTTCAAGCATGGAACTTGGGGATTGTGGTTAAGTGATTTACTAAGTGTAAAAAACAAACCGTTGTGGAGCTAGCATGGCACATCTATATTCCTCAGTGGGGGAAATCCTCCAATTCTCGCTGCAAAGGCCATGACTTCCTGTGCGATAGAGTGATAGTGGAATTCCCATGTATGACTGGATTACCATATTAACATATGTATTATGTGTATATATATATATATACATTGAGCCTCATAGTATATATTATTATATATTGTCCATATATTGCCCATGGCACTTACCAACTGGGATGCACCCCTTACTGAGGTTTCCTTAAACATAAAAACGATTTGACAACAACGCGGAGTGTCCTCCCTTCACAGCGTGGGATGGCTTATTGACACATGGCACAACATGGTCCCCCCGGTGGCAGAATATGACACTTCCAAATTAAGCCAGATACACAATATGTAATTTCAGGATATTTCAGGTCTACAAAAAAAGTTCAACTGCCACATATTCTGACAGATTCGCATACCTCAAGCATGTTAGACCCCCCGTTTGATCCATCGAATGTCGCAGGTCAACGCTTCGGGACAACAGCCGGTGCACATGCGCAACATCGCCGTGGAGTTCGGCATTTACAGGTGGCTTGGGGTACTGTTCGGGCGCCATGTTTGGAGGGTGGTTTTTCTTAGGTCGTCCCACGGATCAATGGATGGGTGTCCCAGCGGGGAACATTGGAACCGGCAAAGTGGGTAAATTCGATGGTTTCCGGTGAAGCAATCTATTGTAATAATGTTAACCATTGGTCTAAGATGTTTCAACATACTTCAAGTATACTTATTACCCAAAATAGCTGTCCAATGGTCCCAATGTTGGTTCAGAATGTCATACCAATATGTAATTCCCACTGGTCCCAATGTTGGTTCGAAGTATAATAGATAGGATGACCATTGTTGTTATTGCATAGGTCCTAACCCAGATGCTCCATCTAATTATGCGATATTTGACAAGATCTACCATGGCGCATCTGGTCAAATTTGGTACAACCTGGGGTTCGGTGCCATGAAAATATCGGTGGTGTAGCTGGCCCAGGAACGATCGGGGTCAGTACAAGGTCTACAACATGACTTTGCAGGGAGGACACCCTTTGACCCAGGCCCGTGCAGAAAAGCCGGCAGTCACGAGTGGTCACGACACTCGTCACATCTGGTCGTTTTCTGCCGGGATGATGTACCCTCCGGTAATAAAACATGGTTTGCTAGGAAATCCCCCCATGTGTGGCACATTTTTCCCATGAAAAAAAACCATCAAACGAGGGATTTCCAATTGCCACATTTGATCAACGGAGGATTAGTCGAATCGATTCTGAAGTGATTGTATGACCATGTTTTTTTTGGTTGTGGAGTTTGGACCATGACATTTTCAAGTTGCAATTGGCTTCCATCCAATGGCGCAGGTCCATTGCGTACAGGTCCAAGACAGTCTCCATCGTTTGCTTCAGACAGCCATTATCATTTTCAGCAAATTTCATCAACAGTCCAAAGCTCAACAAACAATTTAAGGAACTATCAGAAACTAATTTCAAGAAATATCAACAAATGATAGTTCCATTGTGGATTAATCCATTTGCACCTTCAGAAACATCATTTCAGAAAACCCATCAACTCATCCCAAAAAAAACTTGGCGCCGGAAAAAAAAGCAACCGCAGGATGCGCTGGAAAATCGCATCTCCATGGGGGTTGGCACCTACAGAGGTCTGATCGCCTTCTGGAATTGGAGGCGCGGCGGCGCCGCGGCGCATCTCGAAGATATGGAGATTGTGGAAGCTGAAAGGAAAAGTCCTCCTAGCGATTATGGGAAATAGATGGAAGATAGGTGGAAAATAGGTGACATGATTATAGGTATCAAAAAGGTGAGTGTCCTATTGATTATGAGGATTAATGATGTCAAATAGTGTTTGTATATAGGGACATCGTGGGAGAAGCATCAAAAAAACTGGGGATTTAGCCTCTTGTAATCTTTCACCCTCCTACTGACTATGGAAGATAGACGGAAAATAGGTGATAGACATAGATGATTATAGGATATTATAGGTTAAAAGGCAATTATACCAAATCAGGTAAAGAGCTAGGTAAACACATAGCTATGGAAAATGCCCCATGAAAATAGATGACTTTCCCGTCCCAGCTATTAGCTCCCATTTAGTTCGGGGATTTCCCACCCATTAACAGATCATAGCTTTGGAAGCCATAGCCAATGAAACGTTCGATGATTTACCTCTCTATTTGATGATGATTGTCAATGTCGAACTCTTGGTTTACTCTTGGTTTCGTAGCCCTTTTCCATAGTCTTTTCAGAGTTTTGGACCATACTCTGGGGATTTCTTCATGGAAAGATTGGTAAAATCCAAACACCACTGGGTGTCCGACTGGCACCACTGGGCGTCCGACTTCATGCTGAAGCACCTCAAAGGCCCAACGGCTATGAATCTCTATGACTGGGATGTTCGTGGCAACAACATTCGCAGATGATTCAATGACATGTGCATACTATAATTACATGCTGCACATTGATACCCAAATCTGTCACACATGGAGCAGGCGCTCCGCATGCGCCATCTCGACGGCTAGGCAAGGATATGGTTTCATCCGACCGGAGCCCACTTGCCTGCTGCCCGAGAAGGCCGGAGGTTTCATCACATGGGCCATGGCTGCCATGGCCGAATGAAGCTGGGGTATATTTAGTACCACCTTGAGATGGTATAAGATGCATAGCATATTCTTGTCATTTCTTGTCTATGGTGAAATTTGGCCATGCATTTTTTGGGAACAACTGGGCTTTATTTGAACTTAATGCAGGTTGTCACCCAAAATCAGCTGGAATCTTTCGAGCAAGGCACCATTGGACTGCTAAGTTTCGGGAAGGTCTCAAGCAGGCAGCTACTGTTGCAAAAACATGTTCATGACGACTTCTCCCATGACGTAGGACCCGGCCGGATGTACAACCAGTGGTCTAGTCAACCGAGTCAAGAGTCAATCCCAAGGTGTGGACACAATCTGGCAGCTATTGGATTTTGAAGCGTTCTGTGTACTCATTTCAGTCCGCTTCATTCACCGCCGAAAAAGATTTGCACAAAAGCCTGAATATAATTCCTTCAAAGCCTGCTCCGGCATGAGATGGCCACTTGTTGTTTTGTCACGTCTGCCCACTTCCAATTCAGCTAGAATACGTGGCTTCGTCTAGAAATAATATGAGATAATGGAAAAGGAAAACAACTCCCCGTGTTCAAGAAACCTCACTTGCCCTACCCTGTGTTAATTTAACGTAGCAATGTGAAATGGCCCATTAAGGGATGATGTACCTGTCAAATGTGGTGATTGTCCATAGCTATGTCAAAATACCCAAGTGTATTATTATTTTGCAACCATAGATACCATATAGATGATGTAATGATGACGATAAACAAAGAACATTAACAGTCTCAGACCATTCACATATATTCCATAGCTATGTTAAAGGTTGAATTGCTACATATGGTATTGAAAGGGCGGGAAATTGGCGGTAAAATCTATTAACATACCATCAAATTATCATGATATTGCCATTTTGTCACCAATAATATATATATATATATCGTATATATCATACCTAGAGGCAATATCAAAGCTATGTTACAATATCATACCTTTCACACACATATATATATATACATATGTATTGCTATCTATCATTTAAACCATCATTGCATCATATCAATGTAAATCACCCATGCTATGTTAAAGCCACAGGGCACACTGGTCGTGGCACAGGTTGTGGCCAAATTGGCAGAACAGGCTGAGGCGGCACGTCAGCGGGGCAAGCGCATTGCGGAGGAGACCTACAGTGGATGTATGGTGTGTCTGGGGTGGGTGTTTTTCCAGGTTGGACAGCATAGGAAAATGATGATTTAACCAAGAAAATGATGATTTAACCAAGAAAATGTTGGATTTATTGGGAAAGTCTACCGGAAACATCAGGAAACCATGGTTTTTACTATCAAATATAGGTGTTTCACGGCCCAATTTTCCCGACAATCCAATGAATACACCCCTGGTATGTTTATATAATATATCCCATTACGATGTTACATATTGTGTTATCCCTACAGCTCCAAACACCTTCTGAGACTGGCTAATTTGGAGTTTGTTTTCGGGGTCTAAACTCCTTTGAATTGATGGTATTTGGAGCACTAGGGATTTTTTTATTATCAAATTTGGGCCCAGTAATGGGTGATTAATATCTTAATAGTAATTTTGGCACCCCGGATTTTACATCAATTTACATCATTCTAATCTACCACCCAAATGTTAATATGGTGGTAGAGAATATGGTGATAACATAAAAGCGGAATCGGGGCACCATATTTTGAGACAAACCCAAATCATCCAAGATTGTACAATGGTTATCCATTTTTACCTTCTTTGGTCTTGAAACAAATGTCGAGGGTCACCCATTATTATGAGAAGCCCAAAATGTGGATGTGTCCAAAAAATGGGGATGCCTCAAAAGTACTCCAAAATTGAGAGGTTCATCATTCTCCGTTCCAAAAGAATGCAGCTTGGGGAGGTGAATGCCATATCTCATGAAAGACGCTTTGCCATGTTAATTGCGATGTTTTGAACCATGAATTTGTTTGGCTGCCATTTACTCTGGTCAGACAAACCCACATTCAGCTTGAATGGTTGGAAATTTGTTACGTAAAATTTTGGCTTGAATGTACCATGCATTGGATTCTGGTGTGGTATGTCTTTGGGTTTCAAGCCCCTTAGTTTTTGTGGCTTCGGAACCACAAGTTACAGTCACATCAGAAACCTGTGACAACGTTTCTGTGGGTTCGATACGCATTGTACGCACAGAGCCGCGAGTCGCACTTCTATGTCAATATAACTACCCTTTGGTAATCAACCATGGCAACAAGGGAAATCGGAGGTTCAAAAATTGGGAATCTATAAATGGTGGATGTTCCATTGCCATGCTTGATTCCAGGAGGGTGTATCATTATTTAATGTATTAATTCTGAGTGACCGCAGCTGCAACTTGGCAACTTCCCACTTCCACCGCCGTTGGTTTGCGAGGATTGGGTGCACAAGCTGAATACCCTTTGGTGATCTAGTGTGGCATCGGAAATTTCGTTGTTTTTAGATGATTTGTTTGCACAGATTGTTATGTCAATGTTAATTGAGACATATTTAATTCATATTTATACATCTATGATATATATATAATATGGTAGATAGTAGATAGTTTACAGATGATGTTTCAGCCAGCGTTTTAATGTCTAGTTGATATTTGACTTTACATATACACATGATTACATATGTATAATTTACAGCTGTATCACGCCGCCCGAATTTTCCCGTGTGTTTTTGTTGTTAATCAATATTTTTTTGAGACACGTTTTGCTACATTTTTCCGGTGTAGTGTATAAACAAATACATATATTCTAGTAAGTATATCCAAACATTATATGATCATATTCTAGTATAGTGTAGATACAAGAAAAACAATCTATCAACAATGTTTAGATTTTGTCCTACTATACTAGTATATCACATTCCCCTGGTTTCCCACTATAAAAAACCGTGGCTTCCCCACGTTTCAGCACGTCCATCCGCTGACCGGTAGGACACGTTGCTCTACTTCCGCAAGCCAGACGTGGCGCCGGGGCTGAACCCCATGCAGGGTAGCAAGGCGCAGGGCTTTTTGGGGATGGGACAAAGCGATACAAAACGGTCATTCTGTATATATATATATTTGCTACCCCCACCAAGACCTACCTTTTGGTAGGTTGAGGCTTGCCAGACATAGTGAGCAGCAGATGGTTGCAGGTTTCCTTGGTGAAGCAGTATATTTATATGTATTGTTTTCCTGTATTCTTTATGAGTATATATTGTATGTGCATACAGTGACTTGTGTGTATATCACTATTAGGGTCCTGAAGGGGTCCCGAATGACCCGAGGCGCCGTTGATGTCAAGTTATAGATGGGGAATATCATATTTAGATTTGATAATAGATGAATCTGTGATAACTAGATCTATAATAGTTCCTAAATATAGTTTATAACTATTGTAGATTTGATGAACTATAGGTTATTTTTTTAAATGAATTGTCGCGGGTGTCTATGGATATGTCTCTCAGATTTATAGATATCTGTACTAAAATCATAGAGAAATCTACAAGTAACAATCGCAGTATTATGATTTACAGTTTGACCTGGAGGCGGTGATGACACGTATGCTTGTTCTGTTTTAAGAAGAGTGTTTTTGTGCAATTCGAGGACGATTTGAACATACCTTTGGAGCGTATACCTCAAGTCCCCGAGCACGGCCAATGAAAGGAATCCTTTCATAAACGCTCTTCACATGGTATGGGATAGGCTCCAGGCCTTCTGTTGGATTTGTCTTAGAGTAATCAATATCAAGCTGGGATGAATAGGCCCTATCTGATTTCCATGGTTACCCCCTTTGTTTAAGTTTTCCACCAACAAAGATGTGAACAAAAACCATGAAAATCCATCATTTGTAGATCATTTTCCGAGGGAAACGATGGGTTTCCACATCTTTTTACATGTGGATTTCGTAGGGTAAATTTCCTGAAATGAACACCCCTTTAGCCAGTCGCAACAGGTCGGATTCCAAGTCTACATCGATGACAAGGGTGCTGGAGCTTGTGACGTCACTGCTTGAGCCACCCAAAGATTGAACACTAAACAACTTAACCATAAGGTGGTTCAAAGACCTATCCAACTAACTATAGACTATAGATATATCATATATAGTCATATATATCCATTATAATCTATGAAGCCTAGTTGACCGAGTTATAAACCAATTTAGCTAGGTAGAATCCAGTTATACGCGGCGGCGCTACTCTGCGTGGATTCCAGGCCTTGGAAGAAAACCTGAAGAGTTGATTGGGAGATTGTCATGTGGAAATGCTGCCGGCATTGGGAGATGTTCAAAAATCTACAGTAAGCCAATTGCCAGCACAAAAAATAGGACCTTAGGACATCCCAAGGGGTTTTGAAAAAGATGGCTACATGTTTGATCAAATTCCGGTCCAAATTTTAGATTGTTCCTGATTGTCAAGGGGCAAATGATTTTCCTCGCTTTGGCAAGAATTAGTTCTGAGCATACAGTACCCCAAAATCCCAGAGTTGATCATCATTTACCCCATGAAACTGGCTATTGTCAGGTGTATCTAATGGTATCTTTTATTTTCAGACAGATCAGCCCATATAAGTGCGATGCAATGCTGGACGGAGATATCACACCCACATCCAATCCATGACTACATGCTCAGAGACAGGGCAAGATGATGTCATGGCCTGTCATGGCCAGTGAAAGGCTGTCCGAGCCCTACACTTTAAGTATGTTTAAGTGCTTAATTATGTAGCTTCTGTATTGTTGTTGTGTTTGTTGAGAATTACAGCATTTGTTATTTCAGTGTTGAACGAAAAAATGCCATATCTTCAAAGCCAAATTTTATGTGGAATGTTTTTCAGCCATCCCTTGCTTTATAAGTTTTCATCAACAATAACATAACGGTTGCGACCGGCCAGCCTTTTGCTGTGCAACGTGGCCAAAGCTTAATGGAATTGCGACCGTTCTGAGTCGCAAAAACGGGCTGCCAGGGAGTTGCGTGCGTCATGGACGAACCCGAAGAATTGGGGACCTGAATATAGCAGCCCCAGAAAGATTCGAAGTTGGTAAACCCCGACATATGGGTGTGGCTCAAAGTTATTGGCCCAATGGCTACCCTCTGGTAATTTCACAGTGCACTCTTGACAATCACAATGTTTAATAAGTACATCATATGAAATCCTATTTCATGGTCCATGGCATAGTTATCTTAGCTAGTAATCCACTTGTAGCTCATTCTATCCAGTTGTTAGTTATTTTCCCATTAACATGCCCTACCTATCCCTATAGAAATCCCATGAAATCCCTCGAAATCAGTATGTCGTACCCCAAAAAGTCGCAAGCCGTTGTCACCAGGTCGCCATGGCTGGAAAATCTGCCATGGCTGTCATATGTAGAACGTATGTTTATAGATATTTCTTGTGTGTGTGTATAACTTTGTTTATATATATATATATATATATATGTTCCATTTTTTGACTTCGAAGTTTGTAGAAGTTGTTGTATGTTTTTCTGCATTTCTTTTGGATAATTACTCATTTTTGATGGGGATTTCCAATTGCATTACTGGAGGTGCTGCAGTTGAAATTCATCTGCTCAACAATATGGTTTTAACTTCAACATCCACCCTGAGCTCTCCAGATTTCTACTTATCTGATATTTAAGTGAGGTTTTCATTCGCATTTCAGATGCATTGACCTTCAGGCAGTCAGGCTTTGCATCTGCTGGGCTTGGCTCGGTAGTAGCCACTTAGTCGCCGTCGCTAATGCCGTCGCTACACATCAGGGCAGTGGAGATCAGACACCAGAGATGGTTTGGAATCAATATTGGTCTGATTGGTGGTTTGGAATATGACTTTTTAATGGGATAATGATGGTTAATGATGGTTAATCATGGTTAATAGTGGTTAATAATCACTGGTTGGTGGTGACTGGAACCATGGAATTTCATGACTTTCCCATCATATTGGGAATGTCATCATCCCAATTGACGAACTCCATGATTTTTCAGAGGGGTAGGTTGAAACCACCAACCAGTAGTGCCTCAGTATGTTTCAGTCAGAAAATCCAGAAAGGTCAATCAAAGTGTGAAACTAGCAGAAATTGTTGGAAGTTCTTGCGAAATTCCGGGGAAGCCACAAAATTCTGGACGGCAAAGTGCAGCCTCAGGGTCAAGCAGCCATGACTGCCATGATGTTTTGATTTAGATAGATTTAGATTACTTGTTGCTGATACTTCCCATCCTTTTGGGTCATTTTTCGGAAAATGTCCGGTCATATTTTCATTGTGCATCTCCCCATCCTCGGCTTTCCACCCAGAACCCTATCCGAGAAGACCCTTACAGCAGCTCATGGCAGAGATGAAAGCCGCTTCCACAGGTCCGGGGGCCAGAAATGGACGGCTGGTGATTGCGTGATTTGCTGGGCTTCTGATTCATCCATTCATCACCCAAATTGGGGCTGTTCAAAAACCACCCCAAAGAAGAAAACATTGTTTCATGTTGCTTTGATGATCAACTTCAAAATCCATGTGTGAGCTTTGGTCCAGCATGGGTGATGTTTTTGTTGTTGCATCCATGTTCAGCTGATTAATTGTCCTTCTTCCAATCACGGTTCAGCCTTCACGCTGCCAAAAATCCACTGCCTCGGGGTATTGCAGCAATTTGAGATTTGCTGAAGCAATTGTTAGGTCAAATCTCTGGTAGTTTGGAATAATTGAAGAACATTGTGTTGCCTTGTTTTGGTATGATTTGGCTCCCTACATCCCGCTTTGGCAATGGATATCAAAATTTTGTACTCCAAACATCAACAAATGGTGAAGCAAAAAAAACTCTATCACTTTTTGCTTGTTATGGTATATTATAAAGTTTCTGCTTTAGTATATTATATGTTATATTCACATAGTTACATGATAGTGACTATGGACTATGTTGGGGACTATATGTAACTATAGTCATGATGTTGCCATACTAAATTATGTAACTATATTACTATATGTGAATAATAGTACGTAACTATATTACCATACCATAGTGTAACTATATTACTACTGGTTGGTGGTTTCAAACATTTTTAATTTTCCATCATATATGGGATAATCCTAATATTTTTCAGAGGGGTTGAAACCACCAACCAGGTAACTATATTACTATTATGTAACTGTTTTGGTCCCCTTGGATCCCATTGAACTTTGCCCTGAGGTCCCTTGGAGGCGACCACCAGCCCTGCAGGGCGCTCCACCAGCCCACACGCTGGGCCTGGGCCGCCGAGGGGTCGACCTTGGGTTTAGTACAACTTCAAGTTGTTAAGCTGTATAATATATATATATATATATATACATATTTATATTTATATTTATACTTACCCTAAATACTGAGACTGTATTATATGTATATATACGCATATACATATATATATATATGTATATTATATTATATATATATATGTATATTATATATATATGTATACACTTACCCTAAACAGTGTGACTAAATTATATATATATATTATATATGTATTAATTTAGTACATGACTATCTAGTTTGAATGCAACAATCCAGAAGCTATCAGTAACGCCTTTCGCCATCTCGCCGAGGCATTGCCGGCCCTCGGGCGCTTTGACGCATCGAGGGCCTCTGCTGAATTCCTGGATGGGCGATGGACCCATGGCATCCCCAAGGACGATGGAAGGAACTGAGCCATTAAGAAATCCCTGATTGGTTATGAACAATGGACCAATTAATGTGAATTTATGGTGGTTTAATGGCGATCTAATGGGAATTTATGATGATCTAATGGTGATTTAATGGGAATTTATGGTGGTTTAATGGGATTTAATGGGATTATTCATGGGATTTACCTAATTAACATTGAATATACTGAATATACCCTCTGCTAAACTGCGGAAAATCACCATGCTATGAATGGCTAAATCAACTATGAAAGGCTATTTGCAATAGCTATGTTAGTTTACCAGAGGGTAATCTATAGGGACTGATACTACCTGATTGTTTGAAAATTATGATCAACCATATTAAGGAAACCTATCAACCAACTATATAGTACAATGAGATGGGATAGGGGCATTGTTCATGGTTCAACTGGCACATGGGGGATTTAACCACCAACAGGGCTTTTCTCGGAATATCATAGGGAAAGTTATGGTTTGTACCTCCAAATGGTTAGTGGGATGGCTTCGAACTGGCTTTAAAACAATATATGGTATATAGCCAACCATTGAAATGGGCGATATTTCATGAGAAACTAAAGGACATATTACTAACAAATTATATGGATTTATTTATATAGTCTGTATGGTGTGTGTGGGTGCTGGATGTAACCTCAATTTTATTTATATAGCCATTTTGATAAAGATCCAACAGGTTTAGGGGTGCCCTATTCTCAGACAAACCCTACTTGGATTTGTATAATACAGTTTTACCATCCAAAACGGACTAGGCTTGAACCAACATGCTTTCAGCAATGGGATCCGGATAGATACGTGAATGGATTTGACGTGATTCAACCATTGAAAACGCGGGATTTCAGCAGTATTTTTTTGGGGGGAATTGACTTTCCAACCATGGAAAATAATCAAATATATTTGGAACACCGATATAATCACATGATATCGAATATATACTAGACTATATTAATATATATATATAATATGTTGTATTGACCACAAGAAATGATGGCACAAATAACAGATTGAGTGAGAAGTTTGAATGTGATAAAATTCGTTCAAGTAAAGGTAGATTATAGCAAACCCCATCGATAATGCAGTTTTTGAGATGCGTGAATTCTTCTGATTTGCCCACGATATGACGGACTGTTGGGAGCAACCAAAGGTGAGCTTCATCGTAAGTTGAGAAAGAATCACACTGTAGGCGTTCAAAAATGTAAACATGTACAGACACTGAGGATGTCGTCATCACAATTAAGGCTATAAAATGTGTTCTTTTTGAACTCAGTGATGTCTTTGAGACGAAGAAAGTCAGGGTGAGAAGTGAAATTTTTGGCCATATAGCTATCAAGGAGGTTTCCTATTGGGGTACCACTAAATAATCCATTTGTTTATACCATCCAGCCATTGGGGACCCCCCATGACTATGGAACCCGCCAGAAAGGATGTTTTTCTGTCGGCAGGACGCCGAGGCAGCACCAATCCGAGCTGGAATGCTGAGCTGAATGATGCGTTCGATCTGTGGAATGATCTTCCAAGTTCTTTTCTATGGCCTTGGTATACCATAGAAGAAATCGAATTATACACATGTGTGTATATATATATATATCAAAATACCCAAGCATCATCGAATAGGCATAGATATTGAATCATATGGCTAGGTCCTAAATGTTTCTGTTTTCAACAAAATATAAACAAAGTGTTTCATGATAGTGTTACTTGTTATAATTCCGGTATCCATGATTCCCCTCTGTTGCGCGTCCAGAGAGTTTGCTTTGGTGGACAGCCCCTGGCTAAATGGGATATCAAGCCCTCAATTTCCTCAAGCATGGCCTGTGGTTGGCAGAGTGAATGGCTTTGTATGCGCGCGTACAGGGATCAGACACTATGAATATGTTCAATCGCGGCTTTGAAGCTCCAGCACATGTTCACGGCAAAAAAAACACAAAAAAGAACTCATGGCACGTCCGTGTCGTCGGTGGGCTTCAAGCACGAACTGCAATTCGGTCTCGGGCAGCAATAGCCAGCTTCCGGCACTGCTTTGGAAGAGAAGACATGCAGATTCTGAGATTGGACGTGGAGAGTTCCCTTTGGCCAGCAAGACCGTTCTCCTCTCACGCCAGAATGAGAATGAAGGATGATTGTTGCCAAAAGCTCAAAGAAAGAAGCTTTGTGGTGACATTGTTTGGGCAGTCGCACAGGTTCACCAAGTTGCGGGCTTGGAAACTCCACCGTACTCCCAAGAGAGAAGAATGAATGTGCAGAGAGTCGCAGATTGAAACATTCCAAACTGTATTCTGCCCTGTTGCTGGGGCACAGGGATAGCGCATAGATAGGATATGATTGGATAAGATTGGGGTCTTCAGTGTGTGCCCGTGCAACCAGCAGGCCATGAACGCAAAGCCATCGAGTTGTCCCAATGTTTCGTGATGCATGGAGTCAACGATTCCAGCTGAGCTCCTTGCCGTGCTCACATGCACAGCTGAAAGTATTTTGGTGGTGGAACGGCTGATGCCAAATGTTTGGAAACGGCAGCGGCAGGAAACGTCACAACTTTGCATCTAAGACTGGCAACGAAGCTTCCAAGTTGAGACTCCCATCCCTGTAGACCCTGTCCGTCAGAATTTTTGTTCTTGCAAGTAGCTCCCCATCCGAAGCGATCTTTTCTTCGCTTCGGACATCCACCTGGAAAGTCGACAGACCTTCTATTGCGACCTCTGGCTGAAACTCAGGCTCGAAAAAAACGTGAACTTGAGTTTTTGTGCGAAGTTGGTGTGTCCAGTTCTAAATTGGTAACTTTGGGTGGATTTTCTGAAGCTCACAGGTATTTTGGGGGCCCAAGGGCAGCGTCGGGTTGACCCCCCCATCGACAGGGTCTAGAAGGTCAACATGGTGACTTTGGAGACATCACAGTCAAGACCCAGCTTCAAATATTTTGGCCCATTCAAAACGGGGAGCCTGAGCTGGGATTTATATAAGGAATAAGTATTCCCAAAATCAGACTTGAAAAGGGGCCCCTGAAAACAAACATATTCAGCAAAATCCTGGATTCAGAGGCTGGCGTGGATGAACTTGAGTCAATTTTTGACTCAGAGATTGTTTACCATTGCAGTTTGACACAATCAGTTCATGATAGTCAGTGTTACTTGTTATAATTCTCGTGTTTCCACAAGTAGTATCTAGTCTTGATTTAAAAGATTAATCCATCTATTCAGTGCTTGAATTTGATCTATTCAGTGCTGTACCCCTTGAAATCCCAAGGCTAAATGCATCGTCTAATATACCATGTTATTAATCGGTCCTTTTACCACCGGATATTTTCCGGATATGTTACCATCTAAATACCTTCTGGTAATCGAAAAGGCAACGGAAAATTACCATTCATACAATGTGAGGCCCCCCAGTTATAAGTTGGTTTATAAGCCCCAGTAACTATAGTTATAAGTACCATAAACCATAGTTATTGGAGTTATAAACCAACTTAGCTATCTTGGGGGCCTCACATTGTAGATGATTTCCCATATATAGATGCCCTTTCATTTTGGGGATATCCCAGCTAGCCATGTAGCTGATTACCTCCACTTCATTGGATGATTTTCCCGTTCTATCTCCTTAGAAAGACCATAGAAACATCACCAACCCTCATGCCCTCATGTTCATAGCAAAACAAAGTAGAACAACCACATTAAAACCATGGTGAAACCATATATGAATGATGGTCAAATCAACATCAAATGACTAACCATGATGGTGAAATCACAATTTCCATCGCACATTAAAACCACTAGTTGACACCTATCTAAGATGGATTTTGATGTTTCATAGTAATACCATAGTAAAACCATACTAAAATCATATGTCACATACCCTCTGATAATGACTAACATAGCTATTGAAAATGGCCATTGAAATAGTGGATTTTCCCATTAAAAATTGTGGTTTTCCATAGTTATGGAGCAGTTTACCAGAGGGTATATTAAATGATGGTATATTGATGGTTGGTAAAACCATAGTAAAACCATACTAAAATCATATGTCACATAGATGTTTTCCATATTTGTCTTGCATTTTCCCATCAACCCATCGCCGAGGCTTCGTATGGGTCTGGCGCTGTCGGAGCTGCTGCGGCAGGTGGCCGAGGATCGCCGCACACAGCAGAGGCAGCTGGACGCCCTGGAGCGACGCCTGCAGGACGGCTTGGGCGGCGCGGGCAGCCGGTGCATGGTCAACGAAGAATGTGTTTTTTTTCCTGAGATCATGGGAAAATCACCATGCTATTCATGGGTAAATCAAATATCAATGGAATTGTTCATGGGAATTTATGGTGGTTAGTGTGGGATCGTTCATGGGAGTTTTCATGGGATTTACCCGTAGCACAATGGTCCCTAGTGGTAATTGAGATTGAATATACTGAATATACCCTCTGGTAAACTACTCCACAACTATGGACAATCACAAAGGCCATTAATGGGTAAATCAAGTATAAATGGTCATTTTAATAGCTATGTTAATTTACCAGAGGATAATCAGGGGTAATTCCTACTGGTAATTAGAATAGATGGTAATTAGCCTAAATGGTAAACTAATGGTAGATCGATGGTAAACAGAGGTAATAAATCTATGGAAAACCGTGGAAAACGATGGAATCCTAAATGGTAAACTAACAATAGTAATAGGAAAATCACGTTCAAAAGGAATTAGCTTTAGTTGAATTGCCTGTAGATAGTAATATAGAATTATTGGTAAACTAACATAACGAACTGGGAAATTCAGGACCATCACCGCTTTCAATTTTTGATTCAACGAACGAAATTCATGGAGAATTGAATCAATAGCTATGTTAGTTGACCGGTAATGGAAAAATGGATTTAACGGTGAACAGCAGGTCGTTGACACTGATGGTTAACTCGTCAAGAAGAGTGTGCAACGTAATTGTTCATAGATTCCCAATCTGTTCTAGCTTTGAGTGGATTTAATGATTTGGTCACTTCCTCTTTTGTTGGGGCGGGATTCCCGCACACATTCTCCATGTATGTTGGGGGCAAATGCTGGTAAATATTCTATGTATGATGCAACCATACAAGGTGGTGCCTCCCATTATATGCTTTGTTATCCATTATAAACCCATGGCCCATATATATATATATTTCTATATGTATATATATATATATATTTCTATGTATGTATATATGTAAATAAATCCATATAAACCCATATATAGACCCATATAAACCCGAGGTAATAGAGCTATCGGCCCAACTTTGGGACAGATGGAAATCCAAGACATCGGCCAAGAAGGAGCACCTGACCGCGCCGGCTGCGAATCGTGAACGATGGGCAGATCTTCAGGTAACTTGGAGAAGGGGTTGGTAGCTGATGTATAGCAATGGTTGGATATGGTCGGATACTTTATGTCACTGGGTTGGTTTAAGGGAAAATTTTAACCGGAAACCCCATATGTAATGGTAAAAACCATGGTTTCCGGTTAAGATTTTCACTTAAACCAATCCAATCATTATGGCTTCTGTTGAGGTTAAGTTAGGGCATAACCATCGTTAGAGTGGTTAAGTTATCTGTGGTTAGAGCAAAAACCTCCACAAGTTGGGTATATATCGGATATACTCACGAAGCCCTAGAACTATGGCTCTATATGTCTTATAACTGGAAGTGCACTTCCAGGCAAGGAGTAATCCAAGGATAGGTTATAATCAATCCATATCAATACAAGATTGCCATGATTATAAACTATGCCAATGATTGTCTATGTTGTTGGCCATGTACTGTACCAGCTGGTTGAATCTCGGTTTGGTAGATGAATCTGTTCTCTGTTTTGCTGTAGATGAATATATTCTTTCTGTGTTCTTTATGGAGGTAGAAGCAGAATAGCCCATGTCACCCTGAAAGCGGGTTTGATGTGTGAAGGGGATCTGCGAAGTCCCGAAGTGGACATGTTTTCACCACAAGGTTCAAAAGACACGGGGGAAGGGGCACAACATATTGACTTATTTATCTCGAATTCCTCTGTGTTGTTTACAGCTCCAGGGTGGTGTGCATAATATGATATGTGATACAGACCCATTCATGGATACAGATATGAAGCAACAGATCACAGTTGGGATGGGTAGTCATGGAATCCGTCAATCTCAAGCATGGCAAGAACAAGCAGGAGAAACGCGGTACATTGTGACTGCTGTGGTTGCAATCCTCTACTCCAAGTGCATTGGACCGATTGTGAACCAGGTCTTGGTTCCTCTATCCATGATGCACGTTTGAAGTAGCTCGGTACCATCCCTGGTTGTCGTGGAATAGGGACTACATTGACATCAGGATGTGAGGCATGCTCCCACCCCGCCCTTACCAAACTTGGGAAGGCCAAGACTGCATGGCTTTGGATCCGGGAAATCTGTCCCACCGCTTCCAAGATGTCGGTACAGTTTCGACCCATTCCCATATGTTCTTGGTGTGAATGCCTTTTTGTAGATGACATTCTGATGTATGTTGGTTCAGGGCCCAGGGCCCAATGTTCTTTAAAGAAACTAACCTACCATCTTTGTGGAAAATTGTTGGATCCTCCACTTGCATGAACCTTAAAGGCAATAACTTAGTTCCCAGATGCCCCATCGTGATGATATTGTTTACTTGACTTAACGGATCATTCTGCGTAAAGTAGTTGTTGCTAAATGTTGCGTGGCAGAAGAAACCATATAGACCCATTATCATATCAAGTTAGTCAGATAGTATGTGTATATATATATAACCGAAATATGATCCGGTGATATCACAATTCTATGACCATTTGTCCAACTTCGTTTCCTAACGATGGTTATTAAATGCTTAAATGCTAGTCCCACGCTACTTGGCTACGCGATGCTACGCGCTTGGCGCTTGGCTACGCCGTGTTGGAGATTGTTGGAGCTTTTGGAGTTTGCAAAAATTACCCTCTGGCTATGACTAACAGGGCTAGCCATGGTATAGATGGCCCATAGAAATAGATGGTTCACCGAACTTCAAAATGGTGGATCTTTCCATGGCGAACTGTTAGTCATAACCAGATGGTAGATCCAAGTTATAGCTGATTTTATCTGATTTTTCCCATCATATCCCATTACAAACACTATTTTTTTGCATCACTAATACCACTATGTTTGCTACTTCAATCAGACTCGTTTCACCTTGTCACCGCTCCTCCCAGGGCAGCGTCAGTGGCTTACTGGAAGAGGTGGCCAATTTGGTGCGGCGAGTGGAAGGGCTGGACGAGAAGTTGAGGCACGGAAATTACGCGTGCAGGGCGTAAGTGGGTGAGCCATTGGTTGGTTGGTTATGACTAGTTTTGACATTTGCTAGAAATGGAGGTTGTCAGTTGTCATTCCGCAATACCAATTTCATTTGGTAGTTGAATGGTGATAAAATATGGTATGAACATGTATGAAATAGAGGATTTGTTTATGGTTATTGTAGACAATCTGGCTTCTTGTGAATGATGAATTAGTCAATATGGGATGTCAATGGGATAGCTATCAGTCATTTTGAGTTGTTATAGAGATTATTGGGAATGTTCAATCAACCTTAGTCAACATTATTGGGTATTATTATAGTCAATATTATTCGGCGCCTACCTGGTTGGTTGTGGAATTTGTGGATGCTAATGGTCAATCATACCTCAAGCAGTATTCCGTGGGATGTTAGATTATACCCGGTTATTAGGAATAATCTTCTTACATGTCAGATGATGTTTATCATGTTTTATCCCATTATGTCCGGTTCTTGCTATTTATTGGTAATAATATTCCCATTACATCTCTATCCATCCCAATCAATCCCTAGAAATACCTCTGGTAAACTAACATAACTATGGAAAATCACCATTTTTATGGGAACACTATATAACTAAAAATGCACATGTTCAATAGCTATGTCAGCTATTACCAGAGGGTATCCCTGGGTTTCATGGCTTGCCCCGGGTTTTAGGATCCGAACAGCCTCCTGCGAAGAATTGCTGAGACAACGATCTCGGGCCCCTGGGACATGGCGTGGCGGCCGGGATGGGGTGCTGACAACATAGGCTTGGCATTGGTGGAAAACCATGGAAAACCATATTTGTATATCTAATTTTAGCTATGTGTTTGTCTATCTGCCTGACTATCTACTTGCCTATCTACGCGTATAGTGTATACGTGGTTTAGCGGTATACATGATTACACATGCCGGATTTTCCGTTGAAAGGTTCGCCGTAAGGATGGTCAGAAGCGATAAGTTTCCCTCCTATTTTGGTTAGATGTTTGGATTGTCAGATTGTCAGTTACCCTCTGGTAAACTGCTCCATAACTATGGAAAATCACCATTTTTAATGGGTAAATCAACTATAAATAGCAAGTTTCAATGGCCATGTTAGTTTACCAGAGGGTAACAGCCACGGCTCATGACTTCGTGACTTTCCTCTTTTCGTCCATGAGGAAAATAATCACCGCAACCGCTGGGCGCCAGATCAGCAAGTGTGAACATTTTCCTTCTGGTGACTGGTTGACAAGAAACCATGGAGCAATCAGTAGGATTCTGGAGCCATGATTGGGCAAACACAAACTTTTAGGCAATATTTAAGACTATTTAACACTATTAAACATGAATAGAAAGTATGAACTATATTGAAATATGGTTTATGATGTTTATTTGTAATAAATGTGAAGTTCGGGGACCTGACCTGGGTCGCTTGGATAAAAAGCTCTGTGTCCCAGTTATTAATGGCGCCCAGAGATGGGACGATCAGGAATTGGAACAACAACTGCATGGGCAACAGCAAAAGGCCGGGAGGGCGAGGTCAGTGACGGTCAGTGAGTGAAAGTGCCAGGGCAATCATGAAGATTCATGAAGATTGCAAATATACGACTACTAGATACTACATTGCTACATGATACTACTAGATAATGAGATAATGAGATATATATTTATATATAGAATATATATATATATATATAATGTATATATATATATATCCTTCAACGACACGGAACGCTTGGAAACTCTCTGTATCAAAGTGGTATAGCTAGCATACAGTACCTCAAAAGGTTGGCTTGATTCCCAAGCAAGTTGTTGGTATTTCGCTTGATGGAGTGTTTAAAGGTCTTAAATCCCGAATTCCTTGGGAAGGTCATTATCATGCGCAGGGATAGGATGTATATAGTAGCTGAACCAACGCCTTGGTTCCTTGTATTGAACCTACGCTGTGTGGAGAATGCTTTCAGAAGAGAACCAGACCTACTCAATAGTATGTTTGCTTTTACATCCCCTAATACAATGATAATATCTAATATACATTACCATATTTATGTTATATATATATGTAGGTATCCACACACGATTTGAAATATATATATATATATTATATTGGTCACAGTTCACATCACTTGGACCCTCTTGTAATCAAACAGGGCAATTGAAAATCACCCATGTATAGATTTCTCAGCTGCCATGTTTGGTGAAACCGATGGGTAAATCACCAAAAAAAAGCCATCTGATGGTTAAGCCCCCATTAAATCACAATGATTGATCATTAAATCCGATTAAATCCTATTAAGTCACCCTGGTTAGTCAGATCCCAAGGTATCCCTTGATTGTTTCCTCTCAAAACCAAGGTGCACTTGGCTGTGTCCACATTCGAGGCGCACAGGGATCCAATGATCCCAGCTACATGGCTATTGGTCAAAAACCCTGGCACCTACTGGCACCTAGTGAACCCCAAGTCATAGCTGGGTTAAAATGGATGTTCATCCCATTAGAATTATGATCATAATAGGTTTTGACCCACCCCCACATAGGTTAAACATATAAAAACCCCAGCACCATGGCCCGACTTATGAATGTAGGTGTGCATATTCCAGCACCATGATGCCATGCTTCGCATCATGCTTCGCATCATGGTTCGATGTTGGGATCCATGTTTTTGGATCCCATACGTGGCTTACCATGAGATGGTCCCTTTTTTGGGCGCTTCATCCGAAAAAAATGTGGTAATTCACTACTGGTTGACCCGCCCGAAAAGGGATTTGATTTATTACTGTATGGCAAAGAATTTGCTTGGATGTTGTTTGAATGTTGTATCTGCCTGGGTTGTTCTTAGACCTACCTGCCCGGCGTTTAGTTGATCTCCCCTGTCCCATGTTTGTTTTATCCCCGGCGTTTAGTTGATCTCCCCCTGTCCCATGTTTGTTTTATCTCATGTGTTTTGGGCTAATCTTGACTCCCGTAGATAGTGAAATGATTATGTCCTGATGTTTCTGGAAGTCTTCCAATCATCTCTGTATAAATTTCTCTCCAAGCAATTTGATGAGCAGCTCCCTTGGGGTGTGCAAACGATTTTTGTTGGTACTACATGCAGATGCATGTTTGGGAGGGTCTTAGGTGATTGTAAAAATATACTTAAAATAAGTAGGCAAACAGAAGGTTCAAATCCCATGAAATTGAACATGAAGCCACAGATATGGTATGTTAGCCCCCTTTGTACACTCCAATTTGAATAGTTGCCATGGTTACCTGGGTTCGTGGTTGAATATGTACTCATTGTAACCTTTTATTGGTCCCACTAGTCAAAACCATTCTCCAGAAAACCAATGATAGTGCAGCTTCATCTAAACGCCGTAGAGGTTTTCATATTACATATAGTTTTATTGGTTATATTCAAAACTCTTGTGCACCAGAACAGCTGAACAGTTGAGTTTTACATATATAATCATATATATATATAAACGATATAAGAATAAATAGACTTAACAGTTTCCTAAAAATGATGCACTTTTCGGGGGAGGGTACCTATATATATATATATATTATGTATAATATACATATGTATTATATCATATGATATCTAATATGTATATGTATATATCCCTACAGCTCCAAATACCTTCTGAGACTGGTTAATTTGGAGTTGGCTTTTGGAGTCTGTTTAAACACCCTCGAATTGAGGGTATTTGGAGCACTAGGACATACCTAGGTCGTTTTGGTGTTCTGTTTGGTGGTTTGGAACATGAACTTTATTTTTCCATATATTGGGAATGTCATCATCCCAACTGACGAACTCTTTTTTTTCAGAAGGGTAGGTATACCACCAACCAGAATATATCTATAGGTATTATAACCACTATTATGATACAATATAATCCATTATAAAGATGATTATCCCATAACAAAATCCCATTATAGATATATTATTAACATTTATTAACCATCATTAACCATATAATAACCATTAATATAAACAGTATTATGATCCCACAACCTTTATTAACAGTATATTAACCACAATTATTGGCTATTCAATCATATTATGATTTCCCATTATTACCCATAACTATAGGTATGATTATGATTATTAATTATTGACATTATCATTATTACCCATAACTATATAGGTATCATTATTACCCATAACTATTTCCATTATTATTAACAGTATATTACCCATACTATTATGATATTATCCCATCTCATTTGGGTGTTGGGGATGGGTACCATCCTTCCATGTTTTGCTACGGATCATCGGCGAAAGGAGATGTCCAAGCGCCAGACCTCCAAGCTGCGGAAGCTGGTGAGCAGCTCTGAGGATGGGGTGATTTTCGATGTTTTGCCATGGGAAAGCCATGGGAAAACTGGGAAAACCATGGGAAAACCATGGGAAAAGCCATGGAAAGATGGAGAGAACTGGTTTTTCACATGGTCATTTTATGGGAGGTTGATAGAGCATGTGAAAAATCCATTGATAGAGGCTGATTTCGATGGTTGGGGATGTTGCGAAAAAAAATCACAAGATGGAAGCGTCCAACGTTTAAACAAGGTAAACAAATGGACAGACCATGATAGACCTACGATCAGATGAGGCAGATTGGCATAGTTTCTTCAACCGGCCTGGAGGGTTTAAGTGATGGCTTTAGATTCACGCTGGGGCCCCTGGAAATCCATGGTTCATGATTACTGCCATTCATTGTTGTATATTGTTATCATCTTATGGGGATCACGACCATGAGCCATCACCAGCAGTGTCATCAGTTTATGGGATTGACCATACCATCGTTCCTTGTTCGTCCATCTTCCATGGAAGGTGTACCCTCTGGTCAGTTGCTACAGCTATCGATGGTCTACAGATGATTTACCGATTGCAAATTGTTGTTGTGGCTTAGCCTTAGCTATGTTAAATTGCCGGAAGGTATGAAACCCTACATAATACCCCAAAGCTCAGCAACTTAAGAAGGCTCCCAGCACGATGGATGACGGGTCCACATCTATGTTCCATCAACCACTGCCAATGAATCCCAACTGTAGGTGGTCTTACCATGAAAGGTCCCATTGCAGATTCTTGCCACTTATTGTTGGATCAACTGATATAAAACACATTTGTTTTCCTTGTTTGGGATCATTTTTTAAAAAATAAAAATCCCAATGCTTCTGAAATCAGCCCATTGCCCTTGCTTTGCCAAAATCAGCTACAGGAGCACTCGCGAAAGCTGGCAGCCTTGGAAGACATGACCCGCCGGGCACAGGCGTCACAGGGGACCCTGGGGTAAACAAACATCTACCATCTGGTGATGACTTACATAGCCATGGTATAGATGGCCCATAGAAATAGATGTTAATAGCATGGTGATTTTCCATGGCTATGTTAGTCATAACCAGATGGTAGATGTGGAAATTCCACTATTTGTAGATGTTCTTCCTAAGGGTTTTCCACATCTATTAGTATACCCTAGTGCACCAAGCGGTTTATAAGCATTTTAGTTCACCCAGTTAGATGATGTTAGATCACTAGAAAAGGCCCACTTGGATTGGTGCACTATACAAACAGGGCTGCTCCAACCCTGTTGCCCCCCCTTGTATAAGGGGTGTTGGGAGCAACCTGGATAATATACAATGGCAATCCATGATCTATAATTATATATATATGATGTATGTACATATATATATATATATTTATATATATATACATTCTATATATATATATTTATGATGTATGTACATTTATATACATACATAACATGTACACTGTACATTGCGTTTTAACCACTTACAGTTCCTGGCCCTTTATGCCCACCCAAGTCGTGCGTGGTTTCAATCAGGTTGTCATGCTCCGGAAAACCTCAGATGCCATGAAAACATCGAAAACACTCGTGTATGTTCATCATTTCCTGATATGTCACTAGTGCATGTTGAACACATGTTCAGAAAAAACTATTGATATTCCATATGTATTTCACTACATATATCTGATATGTTCAACATGTTCGAAGATGTTTGGCCCTTCCTTTGATGAGTCCGCCCAGATGGGACCAACTTCACCCTTGGAGGCACCGGGCTCTCAACCAGAGATGTTGGATCCCATGTTGCCAAGTGAAACATAGTGAAACTATTTTGAGATCTACAGATTCACCTCGTATAAATCATCTGTTTTTGATGTCTTTGAAATGACCTAAATGCTACTCATAGCATTGAGTGATGCCGCAGCGATAAACATTGCTCCCTGTTGCGTGGCAGGCGATTCAAGCTCGCTTGTCTGAGCTGGAAGGGCAACAGGCCTCGTCTTACGAACTGGCGAGATGTGACGAGTTTGTATGGGTCAAGCAAAAAATGCAAACTGGTGTTGTTGATACACATTTGTTGTGAGAGTCCCCATTTCGGATTCGTTGCATTTGTGTGTCAGTTTGTCTATGACTCTATGAGTATGAATGATTACTACACATATTGACTTTTAATGTGGTAAACCTAATAATTCATCCTTAATATCACCACAAATGGGTGGTAAAGCCATCCCCCAATGGTAGTTGGTTATGGCAATTTGCAACATTATAGGAATTATAGTATCATGATTTACCCATAATTTGTAGTTGTAAAAATAACGTACCCATAATTTATCCATAGTTTATGATCATGTATGATCTATGATTGTTATTATCACTATGTGTTGATGATGTATATATATATATAGTAATATTATAATGTTATCATAGAGTATGTTGTTTCTATCATTGTTACCATCACTACACATATCATTATAATTATTACTATATATCATTTTGAGTTGGTAGTTCATACTGTATCATCACAGATCTACATTAATTGCATTGTTTATTATGATAAAGCGGCGTGATATTGTTGACATAGCTATGGACAATGGTCTATTCAGAGATGATTTATGTCGGTTTACATATTATAAATGGTGATGTTTCATAGGCAACCGTTAAATAGCAATCCCGTTCGTTCTATCCTATTATATCCAGTAGTTAGTTGTATCATAACAAATCGCTGAAAACATCCCTATGCCCTATAATAATCCCTTGAAATCCCTTAGGCCCCACCATGGTAACAGAAAACCCAGCCATTTGTTTTTTATGATCACAAGAGGTTGCAAACATCACCCCATTTGAGAGGCGAGTTTGGAGGAGGAGTTTCGTGGTGTTGTCACTGCGTCCACTGCGGTGGCACAGGTGCGAACGAATGAGAACTGGGAGAACGTCACATGGATAGTTTAGTGGGATATAATGGGATTTCATGAGAATTTCATGGGATTTCATGGTGATACTGGCATATGCAATCAGCCATTTAATGGGATTTGGGTGTGTCTGAAATGTAATTTTTACCCGCACATGGTCATCTGAAAATAGGGAGAATGATGAAACAATGAATTTAAGGATACACCCACGTTTTATGGATATTTTGGTACACTATTTGGATAGGTGGTAACTAGTACTGTTCATCTCTTTGTGTTTTTCAGGGTGTCAAAGATTGATGGACATTTGTTGATGGACCGAGAAGAAGTCAGCATGGTAACGCGGTAGTCCTTTCTGGGAAAGAACACTGGTTTTGATGATACTTGATGGCTTCAATGTGATGGTTGTACTAATATTACATCAATCTATAGAATCTATACTTTGGCAAAACATGCTTTTGCCTTGATTCATGTTCTCTTACGTTTTTTCAGTTGCATCCATCTTGGATGCGTTCAACAACCATGTGCTCTCCACAGACCTGAGATCATCTGCTTCAGGCAATCAGTCCACGTCATGCGTCTGGGGCTCGATGGAGCAAATTCTGCTCGGACCGTCATGGATGATGAATATTCGCTGCTGGGGCGGCTTCCCCAGTTTGAGAAGCCCATGAGTTATCACAATTTCATGGTTAAATATGGTTAAATATGGTTAAATCAGTGAATTTCCCATGAAGATTACCATCTGGTAATTTGTTACATAGCTATGGAAGCCATGGTCCATTTAGTTCGTCGATTTTCCTATCAAAGCTGGAGATTTCCCATAGCTATGCAACAAATTTCCGGAGGGTCTTTTTTGAGGGGGAGTATTTGGGGTATAAGCGAAAGATGGCCACGTACATTTTTAATAAGCAGGTGGATCCATAGGGTATATAGGTGTGTATATATATATATTTATGTATACAGTATACAGTGCTTTATCCTGGAAATCTTAACGGTATGATGATAGTTTTGTAACAAGTCTAATCATGATCTCCACCCACCCACCTTAATACCATGGTTGATTGATGAGGGACTTCTCCCCAAAAGAGTGATAATCCTCTATGAAATGCGCGCCCAACCAATAATCAACTGTCCAGGCATGAACCAATCTGGGCAAGATTTGAATCCTCACACGACCAACCATTGAGTGCAACCAATGGAGAAATAATACACTCTTCGGAGTTGAGTTCCTGTTGTTGTTGTTGTTGCTGATGCTGGTGTTGTTGTTGTTGCTGGTGGTGATGGTGGTGGTGGTGATTTACCCATTTGTGCTGGCAAGTTGTCCTGATAGTTGATTCTTACTGGGTTTATTTACAAAAAACGTATATTAAGGAAGCCATTGACTCCCCATCCAAAGAAGTGTGTCTTTTCTCTGCAACTGTTTGTTGCACCAATACCAGGCAATACAAAAAGCGACCAAACATCTGAAGTGTTCTTAGTTACCCTCATATATCATATATATATATATATCCCATAGGATCCATGTATGGTATATATGCTAACATTGGGGGCATATTGATGGTAAATGTTACCATATATAGCATACATGGATCCTATGGGTAACTTCATAGGTTTCATAGACCATGAAAATAACCCATTTTTAATGGAAACTAATCTTCCAACTGGTAAATACCCATTTTGTAGGTTATTTTACCATAGGCTTTGACCCATCCACATACCATTCATCCGCCATCAAAACGATGGTTCCGCCGAGGCCAGCGGAGGAGTACGACGTCGGTGCAAGGCTCCTGGAATCCGAGCTCGCGAAGCTCTCCAAGCAGCTGGCAACGCAGGAACGGCGACTCCAAGCGATTCCGTAAGATGTTTGTTGGGTTAGACATAAACCATAGTAATACATAGTATTATATAAATTTGATAAACCTATAGTAATATTATTGTTTATGTAAGGATGATATGTAAGGATTGATAAAATTATATATATATATATATGACCATAGTAATACTAATATTATATGTAAGGATTGGTAAACATATATAGACATACATAGTTTAATGATATCTATAGGTTCTATAGTTATAATGTGGGTAAAACAAAGTGGTATAAACCATTCTCAAATGGATGGTTTATTATTGTTTTACCCACATTAGCAAGGATTGATAAACCTATAGAAATATGATAATGACAATTATATAATGATATCTGGATAAATAGCTATAGTTACTATATATCCAGAATAAGGATGTTTTGTTTTTTTTTTCTGGTTTACATATATACGAATGATTATTCTAGATAATATAGGAACTATATGTGTATGTATATATATATATGGAGGTTTCCTCTGAGATGGCGGGATCCCCGAAACCGGTTTCAATACTCGAATGGTCCAGCTTTGTTTTTTGGGGGTACCCCCCATGACTTAGGAACCCCCCGTATCGTAACTATAGATATATCTACCATCTACCCAACGTTGTGGTATAACTATTTCGATATACCAAAAACTCCAATGAAATTGGAGTTATGTCCACCAACTTAGCTAACGTTTTGGGGGCACCACCTTGTGGTGAATGCTGGGTGATGGCTTGGATGAACAAGAATCTGCGGAAATGCCGGAATTGGTTTGGAAAAATATGGGGAGTAACTGGTTCTATTGGGAATAAACAGGGTTAACCTGGTAAAGCCACAAGGGGTGAAGTATGGGGAGACATGGCTCATTGTTCCTCTTTATTTCTCCCAGTTTTTACCTTTCTGGGGGTGTTGGGAGCAGCCCTGACGAGGGTTGAATGTTAAAAAAAAATGCTGTGAATGGAGTCAATTGAGTCGTATTTTTGTGTTGTGGAGGGTATTTTAAATATGTGGGCAATAGAAATATAAAGGTAATAATTTACATAGGACATAGGACATATGTTGATTCATCAGATTGATGAGAGAATAGAGGTATAGCAGCACCTATATACCAATATTTAAGATGATGATGGGGGTGGTGATAATTTTCCATGTTGTTTACATTATATGTTTCTGTCATGGGTATAGAGTAGTAAAATGTCAATGTTGACAGTTCTTGTCGCAGTCGTGCCGACATTCGGAACAATGAAACATATATACAAGGAACTCATTGCTACATGGTTACATGGGACATCCTGCAAAGTAAAGAAGAAGTTGGAAAGAATTGTTGATCCATAAACCCATTCCCACTCCCAAAAAAAGGGTCCGAGTCATAGGTTTCCCGGTTCCAAATTGCCAGCATTTCCTTGGCAGTTGGATGAGCATTCTGCAGCCTTGGCGAACCTTCGGGTGCGCACTGAGAGCCAGGAGTGCATCTGGGATGCCTTGGGGATGGCATGGTAATGCCTACCGGTACTGTTCGGGGCTAACTGGGCCCAGGGGCCAAGGAGCAGCGTCTGAGTGCTGCCGGAGATCGCTTGGAGAAGCTGGTGGCACCCACATTGGAGGATGGGGCAACCGATGGGGGCGGGGAAGAGATCTTACTGGTGCTAAACGTCGGGAATGGATGGGAATGATTATTCATGAATATTAAACCCTCTGGTTATTCAACATAGCCATGGAAAATCATTTTTAAAATGGGAAGTCTCACTATAAATGGCCATTTTCAATAGCTGTGTTTGTTTACCAGAGGGTAACCAAAACATACCAAAACTATTTCACCATCCCTATCCCCTAGTCCATACCAGGCACCAGTCTTGGGAGGTGGGTGTTTTCGAGGTACGGAGGTACCATTTTAGTAGCAGATGGATTCACTATTTGGGGGGTAACCCGAATCACCCTTGATTTTTCATCCGGGGTTGAGATGATGTTAGTGTCTAATATGTTCTACGAAACCAATATGGATATATAGTGATATATAGTAAGATTCATGTAAGATCAACATATAAATCCAAGTTGTCATTATTCATAATTTTGACATCAACTAAGTAACTAATTAATCGATCTGTACTATATATTGTAGTAATATACGCTTAGTGAAATAGGTCATTGATAATGAGTATAGGTTAATGTCATTTGGATACCACTGGACGCACAACACAATTGGTATGTTGGATGTGAGTTGTTGGGGTTGATAATTTTGACCTATAGCCACATGTTGGGAGATGGCACTAAAACAACCCATAGATACCTATCATGTTCCATTGTTATAGGTGCATTTGAACAGCAAAGTGACTCTGCATTCAGCGCAGTATGTTTGATTGGTGGTCTCTTGATGTTGCTGGTTGACTCCCAAGTGGCTTTTTGGCTCAAATCCTCATGTTTTTCGTGAATCTCTTGATGAAATGGGTCAAAATGCAGCCTGTAGTGAAAACCCCAAAATAGTTGGTATGGCTGGATGTGTATCCCTCCAAATCTGGTGTGAGAATGTTTGTCATCCCCACATCAGAGAGTGAAACCATCAACCAGATAGTCAGATGGGTCAATCAGCATAAACTCAAGATATCATCAAACACAAACCATCATAAACCTAAGTTTCCGTGTCAAGTCCCATTACATTCCCACTAAATCCATCAAGTTGGTTAAATCACCACAAAATCCGGACAATCTGGCTATTTAAATCACCATCAACCTAAGATAACATAAGAAATCACCTTGAAAATGCCTCGAAAATGCCATATCATCAGCCATATCACCAGGTGATTTAGTGCCATTTATCACATTAAATCACCATAAACCAACCCGAGAAGCCGCTGAGAACGCGGCCCAGGCCCTTCGCAGCGAGATGCACCAGCTGCGTGCGGCGGAGCGAGCGGAGACGGAGCAGCAGCTCGAGCATCTCGCGAGGTGCGCCGGAGACGATTTGATGGAGGATTCTTGGTCGTTTAATGGGGATTTAATGGGAATTTATGGTGATTTAGTGGGAATTTATGGGGATTTAACGGGAATTTATGGTGATTGAGTGGGAATTTATGGGGATTTAATGGGGAATTTATGTGGTTTTAATGGGAATTTATGGTGATTTGGTGGGAATTTATGGGGATTTAGTGGGAATTTATGTGGATTTAATGGGAATTTATGTGGATTTAATGGGAATTTATGTGATTTAATGGGAATTTATGGGGATTTAATGGGAATTTATGGGGATTTAATGGGAATTTATGGTGATTTAGTGGAATTTATGGGGATTTAATGGGAATTTATGTGGATTTAATGGGAATCTATGGTGATTTAGTGGAATTTATGGGGATTTAATGGGAATTTATGGTGATTTAATGGGAATTTATGGGGATTTAATGGGAATTTATGGGGATTTAATGGGAATTTATGTGGATTTAATGGGAATTTATGGTGATTTAATGGGAATTTATGGGGATTTAATGGGAATTTATGGGGATTTAATGGGAATTTATGGTGATTTAGTGGAATTTATGGGGATTTAATGGGAATATATGGGGATTTAATGGGAATTTATTGTGAATTAATGGGAATTTATGGGGATTTAATGGGAATTTATGGTGATCTAATGGGAATTGATGGTGGTTTAATGGTGATCTAATGGGAATTCTTGGTGATCTAATGGTGATACGTTTATGATACGTTAGATGGATCTAGAATGATTTAGATGTATACCACCATTTGTATACATGTACCCAACTTTATCCATCTAATGGTAATACAAATGATACACTAGATCTGGGTAAATTTCATCACGACCTCACTGTTCTCCCGAACCCTGGAATCATGTTTTTTTTTGAGGGGAATCATCCCCTTTTATGGCCGCAAGATTCAGGTTAGTGAAATATTGTCATTTACCCAGATTAGATGGATTTAGAATGATTTAGATATATACCACCATGTGTATACATGTACCCAACTTTATCCATCTAATGGTGGCATACGAATGATAGATAAAGTGTGTAAATAGATTGTGGTGCTATACATTTTGGTGATCTAATGGGTGATCTAAATGGCGATTACATGAATCCACAATAGTGCGTATATGATTTATGGTGCTATAGTCGGTATGACCTTTATCCATCTGGAATTTTTGATTGGCATATTTCATGGTGATATAATGGAAGATTTCATAGGATATGATGGGAATGGATTTTGGCAACAACCATGGTGATATAATGGTGATGCAATGGGAATGTAATGGAAATGTGTTTTTTCAAAGGTGACATAGTGGAAATAGAATGATATTTATGGTGATTTAACCAACAATTTAGGCTATAAGGAAACATAAGGGTTGGGCTTTAGTCATGAGGGATGCCCAATAGCCCGTGAGTTAATGGATGAAAAAAAGTAGCCCTTTGAGGAAACCTTGATGGTGATATGATTGGGTTAAACGAAGAAAATGATGATTTAGGCAACAAACCATTGTGATTCAATGGCCATGATCGAACGGGATCATCAGTGCCGGGATATCCGGGATACAACCAGCTGTGCGATGATTTGATTGAGGATAAGGATGGAGATTTCAGGAAGAATGGACATAACAAATCAAGAAAAAAAATTGTTTTTCATGGAATAAAATGGGAATGTAATGGGAAAACAAACTGTTTTTGATTGATATACTGTAATAGGAACATAATGGCATACAATGTGGTATTTTTCCACGAGGTTTGGGGGATATAACCAGCAAAACATGGGGATATGGTGGGACATGTTGTGGGACTATATTGGGATGTAATGTTTCATTGTTTTTTTTTCTTTATTTGCTTGAGATATGTTGCTGAATATTTTATGGGATATTGATGGAATATTACTATGCCATATCAACACACTCCAACTCTCCAGTTCACAAAGACCCTGCCAGAAGTTCAAAGTTGGAAGACTAGATTCCACTGAACATTGGATGGTAACCCTTATATGTATAGAAATGACATGTGTGCCGTTTCAATTCAGGACAGCTGGATTCCTTTTGAATCCCATTAAATCCCCATGAAACATAATAATAATAATAATAATAATAATAATAAAATATCAGCAAAAGGGCCCAACAAACGTACAATCTGATCAAAACATATACTATAAAAGCATCACATTTGTATCATATACAAAATATTACATCATAAAATCTCATAGAAAGGATGGCTTTAAAGCCAGGCCATTTTTCGAAATACATTTGCTCAAGCGCAACGTCCAGTGCCACGTCCAGGCAATTGAAGGACCTTTCAGAGACCAACGAGGAAGCGATTGCAGAGCTCAAAGAGGAGCCACGGTGGAGCAAGGGAAATGGTGATATAAAGGAATTAATGATTAATATTGGGATTCAATATTGGGATTCCTTTATAAATATATTACCATAGTACAATCCCAATATTAAAGGAATTAATGATTAATATCGTGATATTAATGATATCATTAATATTGGGATTTAATATTGTACTATATTGTACTATGGTAATATATTATTGTACTATGCTAATAACAATGGTAATATATTATTGTACTATGGTAATATGTCAGCCATATTTAGGAGGATGATCCCAGCTTACCAATATTTGTCCATCCGCCAATCAGATAGTTTCTGTAGATTGTTTGATCACCAGAAACCCAAGCTCTAATCAACCACAAACCCAAGTGTAGTCAATCAACTAACATCATGGTTGTTCAAAGGTACCCCCAACCTTGAAACCGTTTAACAATTCTTCAATAGGGGCTAAATGCCCCATTCTCAGAACTTGATGGGGAGAAGAATCTTTAAAAAAAACTAAACGTGTCTTTACACTTGTCATGGGGAAAAACAATCATACCATCAACATGGCCATCCGGCCATCCCATGCAGGCGGCTCCCGGCGAGCATGTCATCAGCCAGGCGAAGCCAAGCCGCCGTTTCGCACCCGTTTCGGTGTCCGAAGTCTGGTAGTCTGGTACCATTTGTTTGATTTTTCCATGTGTTTTGTTGATTTTTCCATGAAATCAACCATCCAGCCATTGGGCTACCCGGCTACCCCCATGACATCCCATGACTATGGAAACTGTCGGGTTTTTGACTCTCCAATCACTCCAATCTTAGTAAATGTGTAGATGCTGGACTTGATAGATGTCTTCAATGCTCACATTGGCAGTAGTGAAATCACTAGCCATTGACTATCATTGACCCCAATCAATGACCCTCAGTACATCTGTACTCTGAAACCATTCTTACAATCTGAGAAGATTCTGCACTCTACCCATCTGATCATCTTTTGAATATCATTTTGGCAAGCACAAATCGGAGTCGTCCATTCTGAGTTGTGGCCAGGAGATGCAACAGATGCGAGAGACCTGCGCTATTCAGGTGTGGGCTGCTGTGAAAAAGGAACAGCATTGTGAAACGACAAAAAGCTGAGTAGCATTGAATCGATGATTTAACCATTTTGCTTGATTGATAGTAGCTTTTTTGCAAAACAGTGCACTACACGGCCAACTTCGAGAATTTCATCGATGGTCTGCAATATGACTGTGACTGGTATGGTATGGTTGTCGTGGCCAGACATGCGATGTCGCATGGAGACGGAATGCCCGATTTTGCATTGGCTATTGATGCCTGTCAAGCCGAATAGACTGCGAACATTCTACGAAACAGATCTAGTGTTGATGTGTTGGTGCAAAGTGAAGGGGCCACCTCCATCTGCCCAACGTCCGAATTCAAAGGTTTGAACAGAACCATATATGCCATGTATCATTGTTTCTGAGGTGACTATAAAGATCTATAAGATGGAAATAGAATGAAATACCCTCTGGCTATTTAACATAGCCATGGGAAATGGCCCATAGAAATAGATGGCTTACCTATTAATAGCATGGTGATTTTCCATGGCTATGTTAGTCATAACCAGGTTGGGTAGATTTCAAAGCAGGGTTGCTCCAAGTCATGACGGGTCGTCCGTTACCTTTCTATTTCCCCAAGGAAAACCCCCCAAAGCTCCGTGGGTAAACCCATGGCAGAAAGGAAGAGCAACTGCAACGCCTGATGGCCTACCTGGATCAACAGGGTCTTCCAAGGGAGGACGACGAGTGTGGATGGTGATTTTGGAGTCCAAGATGGTGTTAGTGTGGAAAGGCTGGTTGGTGGTGACTGGAACCATGGAATTTTGAATGACTTTCCATTTAGTTGGGATTTGTTTTTTACCCCAACTGACGAACTAACTCATTTCAGAGGGGTAGGTATACCACCAACCAGAAGGGATATTGATGAAATATTCGTGGGGACATGACATGAGATGATATGATGGGATATACTATGAGATATAAATGGAATAAATATAATATATATATATATATGATGTTATATAATTTGATAGAATGGGATATTAGCGGAATATTCATGGAGATACACTGATATACTGATAAAATATTATATTCACGGGGATATAATCTGGATAGATCTGGATGAATTAGAATGACCTCACGTCGTGACGTTACTGGAATACTAGACTGGTTAGGATTGGGGGAATCATCGGCAAATTTTCGGCTGTTCAGCTAGTTTCAGGTTAGTGAATTATTCTAACTCAGCCATATCTGGTACCCTCTGGTAATTTAACATAGCTATGGAAAATCACCATTTATAGTGAGTTTTCCCATTAAACATGGTGATTTCCAATAGCTATGTTAGTTGAAACCTGCAATACCAAAAAAATGCTGTGATTTCACCAGCCAGAAATGGGGAGTTACTCTTTGGCATCAAAACACGGGATTTTTTTTCGATGGATTCGGATGGATCGTTTGAACCTATGAACAAGTCCATTCGGGGATGGAGAAATTACCCTCTGGTAAACTGCTCCATAGCTATTGGAAATCACCATGTTTAATGGGAAAACTCACTATAAATGGCGATTTTCCATAGCTATGTTAAATTACCAGAGGGTACCAATTATTTGCCATTAAATATCTGTGAACAGAAGGATGCCCTTCAGAATGGCAAGCCTGCCTCACCAGACCCTTAAAAAACACTGAGATCTTCAGGGATCATCCCAGCTGAGATCTTGTTGATGATATGTGTGTAATGCAATTGGCGTGTTGTATCCAGTTGATCAGATCTTGATCCTGGAGCGGATTCCCTTTTCGGTTCTGGGTCAAAATTCCCAAGCCCGAACTGCGCCGGAGGAGATGGACTTGCCAGATGTGGTCTTCCGGGTGGAACGGTCCTGAAACCTGGATCTTGGGATGCTTCATGAAATCCCAGATTGGTTGAGATTAGTTGGGATGTCATGACGCATTTCATATTTTCATGTCCCAACATCTGATTTTGTTGTTTTTTTGTTTTGGCAACAAGGGTTGAAGTTGAAGCGCGTCATGAAATCCCAATAATTCATGTGTGGGTCAGAGATCCAGCATTTTCCAGCTGAATGCAAGGGAAAATCAGCTACAAACACCGTATGTTGGAAATGGTTTGGATGTTTTTATCATTGCTTTCCCTGCCCTCCACATGGACGGACCTGGATGAAACGATGGATGGACAAATCTGTTGTTTCAGATTCCCCAGGATATCCAAGGTTGGGATGCGTTGCAATCAAGGGTCCTTGTATCCCAAAAGTCCAAGCATTTCTTGACTCCTAAGAAATACCGTGAAATCCTTTCTGCATTGCCAACCTCATTACCATACCCATCCAATGCAAAGTCCACAACCTCTGTGGGTAAATCACATCCATTTATAGAAGATCTTCCCCTTAAAATCATGGAAAAACCTTCATTGATGTGGACATTTCCCTACATTTTCCTGCGTTTTTCCTCCATTTTTTGTAGATGTTCCCCATTACCCTCTGGTAAACTAACATAGCTATTGAAAATGGCCATAGAAATAGTGGATTTTCCCATTAATAGCATGGTGATTTTCCATAGTTATGGAGCAGTTTACCAGAGGGTAGCTTTTCTTCGTCAACCACCACGGCGGGCGTTGAGCCGCCCGTGCCGAAGGTTGGAGAACCGGATGGAGAGCTTCAACCAGGACGCCGTGAGCGAAAAGGCGGTGGGGGGCGCGGTGTTTTTTTTTCTGAGATCATGGGAAAATAAGTACAGTTTTTCAGGTTAGTATTATAATTTGCCCAGATTTCCATTGGAAATGATAGGGACACCCCCCATTCAGAATGGTGATGTCCCAGTCCCATTAAAAATTTTGGTTTTAATTGGAATTTATGGTGGCTTAATGGGATCTGATCTATGTAATGGGATTTTTCATGGGAAAGTACCCTCTGGTAAACTGCTCCATAAGTATGGACAGATCCACCATGCTATTACTGTGAAGTCACATATAAATGGCCATGTGCAATAGCTATGTTATTTGTACTGGTTGGTGGTTTGGAACATGAATTTTATTTGTCCATTCAATTGGGAAGAATAATCCCAACTGACTTTCATATTTTTCACAGGGGTTCAAACCACCAACCAGTGTAATAAACTGTAATACACTGTAATAAACTGTAATTTCCAGGAAAATATTGCCTGTAATTTCCAGGAACATGGGAAAACTTAAAGTGTTTTGTGTCTGATTATCTGATGGAATCAGTACTGGAAAAAACCAACTGATAGAACACACAACTAAGTAATGAATGCTGGAACTAAGTACAGAAACCGTGAAAAAATAACTAAGTAATAAACCAACTATAACATCTGCAACCAACTGATACATGTTCATGTTTGTAGTACTTGTAAATTCATCATATACATTTAATTTCTGTAACAGTCTTAAGTACTGTGAAGAACGGAACTCAACACATGGATGTTTGGCTTGATCCTTGTGATCTAACATAGCTAGAATCGAGGGTTTTGCATAGCTATTGGATTACCAGAGGGTGCGTGTTTTATCCATGAGACATCACAAGTGACCGATGAGTTTGTGTCTCTTCAAACAGTTGTTGTAAAAACCCAGTGAGAATGATCCAAGTTTGAGTCCTTTAGCTGGCACAGCGCCACAGCACAGCATGTGGCCATGTCCCACCAGTTGTAAACGAAGAGTTGATGATTTGAAAACATCGGGCGTCATGGTTTTCGGGCGTCATCGCGTCATGTTCAATGTGCAAGTACCGGTTGCCAAATAACAGACGATGGTCAGCTGATGAGTGCAAGTTTGTAGATTGATAGCATTGGATTCGACGGTCAGACGGGCAGACGCACCGACAGGCAGACAGAGTGACAGGCAGACAGAGAAACAAAATCATATTCAATCCTATCATTCTCATTTGGGTATGTTGAAAGATAGGCCCAACATCTGATGTTTGAGATTCATTCATGTGCGCTATCAAGATTGCAATATTAAGTACTCCATGTTCAGAAGACATCAAAGACAGCAACTATTGTATCAAGTTGGTTGTATATTTCATTGCATCCCCATACCCCATATCATGGTTTGTTATTCACCCATATGTTGTCCATATGTTCACGGAGACAAATCCAGATATGATCTGCCCAACTATCAGATTGTTCGTTATTTCCCTAATATATCCCCATTCTTGTTGGTTGATACCTCCAATCTTAAACTGCTAATTCCCATTTCTGTATCCCATTCTACTGCTGTTACAGCTGGTCCCAAAATGATTTCCCCATGGTGCTTGTTTCAAGTTGCGTTCCCATTATTTTCCAATGATTTTCCCCATTACTGCTAGATTATTTCCCCATTATGGTTTCCACATTTCGGTTGTTGCATTGTTTTTCTATTATAATTTGCTGGCAAAATCTCCTTTTTCATCTCACGGTGAAAAATCCCACACGATCTTCCCAGGATTCCGGAAAACCTCCATTTATAGTGGTTAGTAGTGGATTGTCCCATATTTTCCCATGATTTTCCCATGATTTCCCCATATTTTCCCATGTTTTCCCATGATTTCCCCCCATGGTTCTGCCATGGGCCCCGGTCCGGGAAGTTCTCCCTTGGCGAAAGGCAGATCGTTCGGAGCTTCACCGCTTAGATCTGGCTTTGGAAGAGCTCCAGCAGCCGGGGGGCCGTGTTTTTTTATGGGAAATGATGGGAAACGTATAGGAAAATGATGAGAAAATGAGAAAGTATAGGAAAATGATGAAAACATGATAGAGTATAGTTGGGAAAGTTATGATAAACTGACAGAATGATAAAAGTGTTTGGGATATGATTATGGGAAAGTCTGATTTATTTTGAAAAAATGAGATAAACATGGAAGACATGTGGTTGATGCAACCTTAGCTATCATCAATCAGCAATCCCACTGACAATCCTCATTTTCTTGGTTAAATTAGGCTTATAGAATTGACATCCTCATTTTCTTGAAATCCTTTTTTAGTGGTTACAGTAAATCAACGTTACCCTCTGGTAAATTAACATAGACCCTGAAAATCAGCAATTTTTAGAGGAAACTAATCTTCCAACCCCTATCTACCAGGGTCTATGTTAATTTACTGGAGGGTAAATTATATTTTTTCTTGGTTAAATCAGCCACCAGCAATCGTTGTTGAGTCGCCGCAGTTGGCAGCTTCAAGGCCCCTGAGACGTTTGTCCCAGCGCACCGCCAGCAACGAAGCACGTCCGCGGCCCGGTGGAGGGAGGGGCCCGGAAGAATCTAGATCTTCACCCCATATGATCCATATGTGACCCATTATAAATACCATGGTCTTATCACCAAAAATTGCGTGTTTGCTGGTCAAAACATGTCAATGAAAATTCAAGCCAGTCGGCAAAAGCGCTTTCAAGTGCAGTTCAAAAACTATAAAAACCATTTCAAAGATGTATTTCAATCAAGATTCGAACAATTTTTCGAAACCATCCAACAAATCATAAACCAATCGTAAACAAACCTGGAACATCCTGGGAGATCCTGGGACTTTGTATCGCTTCCGAGGTACAACGGCTTTGGAGCATCGACTGGACCAGTTCCAGGCGCGTTGTGTTGAATTCGTCATGACATCTCTGGAGAAATGGGGAATCTATCATCTCCGAATGAAGGATACATGAACATGATGATGATGATCATGATCATGATCATGATCATGACCATGATCATGATCATGATCATCATGACATACTCTCTGGAAAATGGCCCATTGATAGTTGATCTAGCTATTAAAGATGGTGATGTTCCATAGCTATGTTAGTTTACCAGAGGGGAAATGGTGATAAATGATGGGAAAAATAAATGACGTCAATGAAAATAAATGACATAGATCCTGACCATGAGATGAATTATGATAAATGATGGTATATAGTCGGGCAATCAATTATCCCCAAAATGCCTTAAATTCAGATTAGTGAATTATTATACTATTATACGTACTTCATCCATATATATATATATAAATATATATATATAGTCTATATCGTGGAATAATTTACCACATATAGACAGTTACAACATATTATACCGTTTACATGTAATATGCATATTGAATAGGATTGAAAATTATTTTGGTGTTCTGTTGTCATACCATATCGTTCTTGATCACTGACCTTATATATCGTATACCAAATTCACGTCAAACAAACTATTAGCCACATATAAATATCATGCCAGTTGTTTTAGTGACATTGATGCATATTAATTTTAAACAAAATATTAATCAAATGAAATTGTTGTGTTTTAATTAAAATGCGTCATGGTAGATTTACCCACATGTGTGTCACGTTTAGGTCAACTATCGTTATTTTCTTCCATATATGGAGCATAGTGGAAGGATTGGTTGTGAAGATCTCGTGTTTTAAACTCCATGCGTTACTTTGCGAGGTTATTTCACTGGAAGGCTTGGTTTGAAAAGCATTCCCTTCACGGGAAAACTTGGGCGCTCCCTTCACTGGATGTAACTTGGGCTCTCACGGGATGATCATACTTTAGAGGAACTTACAATAGGAATCTATGGTTTATAGGTGATATACCATCTGGTTATTTAACATAGCCATGGAAAATCCCTCATAAATGGAGGTTTTAATGGGAAAATCATCTATACATGGGCCATTTTCCATGGCAATGTTAATAACCAGAGGGTATAGTTAATGAGGGTTATAAATTACAAAAGACCAGTTTATAGTTGATGGTGGAAGATATACCCATATGCGAACCATGGTGCTGGAATATGCACACCACCATTTGCCCGAACAAAATCACCCAGTTGAACGTAGGTAAATATGAACTTTAGGGGGATTTACCCTCTGGTAAATTAACATAGACCCTGAAAATAGCCTAGTTTTAATGGAAATTCATCTTCCATGCCAGGGTCTATGTTAATTTACCAGAGGGTAATCATAATCATAATCATAATCTTCCAAAACTGGGAACTGATGGGGATCCGAATTTCGGACAGTTTTGCTTCACCAAACCCCTCGGGGTTTTCGGGAAAACCCGAGCTGCGACGCGATGTTTCGGCCAGGAGAAGTTGCCAAATGCAGCAGGGTGCCCAGTGCTGGCCGTATACGTTGTGCGAGACGGGCTCCATAAAGGGGGATGTATGAGCCGGTACGCCCAAATCACATTCCAAAAAAAACGTATGATCGTATCTGATTGGCGGTTTGGAACATGACTGGATTATTTTCCATTTCATATATATGGGATGTCATCCTTCCCATTGACGAACTCATATTTTTCAAGATGATTATTGCATGTTATTGCACCACCACCCAGGTATTATCCGAGCCAGGCCTAGCCACATGTTGTTTTGGGTTATAACGGAGATTCTCACGTTTTGCCATGAAGCTTTCGCCGTTGGACCGCTGGACTCTGAGGTTCTCGCCAGTTCAACGGATCAAACGGCATCCAACGAGGTCGGCAAGTCGATGTGTGCCGTTCAAGGGGGCGATTGAAAAGTGTGTTCCTTTCTGGCTGCATTAAATGTATTTGGTATAGATATATTTGGTAGAGATAGAGTCTTTCAATCAGGGAAGAATGCGATTCAGATCAAACTGATGTAATTCTCGTTCATCATATTTGGAACTACCGAAATCATATGCACGTGTCCCCGCAAGAGATAAAGAGAGAGACTTATCCATGACATGTGTCATGTGAGTTCTCCACAGTGGCTGAACCACTGCCCCCCTTAGTAATTAGCCATGGTACAAGATGTTGTTCCTTATTATTTTTGTTTACCTTTGGCAGATCTGCATTGGTAAGTTCATCTACCAATGTTGAATATACGTATGTTCATGCTATATCGTCATTGCGATTGGGTATAATTATCCCAGTTTCTATCTGTGTGTCATTTTGTTGTCCTTTTCCGGTGATTGCAACATTGAAATCCAACCTAGAAAATCACTGAAATAATACATAATAGTTGTTGTCATGTTTTGATGAACATTATATATTTATAGATATATATACATCTGGAAATGTTGTGTGTGGTCTTCCAAACATTCAATTTGTTTGGTCAATCCAAGTGATTTCTGTCCCTTTTTCAGGTGATTCCAGCCTACAGGGTCTGCGAGAAGCATCCATGTTTCATTGCTTCGCCCCTATATCGAGGATACGTCCGCTGAAAAATAAATCGCCCCGAAAATAAACATAGAAATCCAATACATACCACCAGGGTTTCGTTTGGGTGGGATTAACATCATAAAATATCATAACTGGTGGGTGGTTTCAAACATGACTGGATTATTTTGCATTTCATATATATGGGATGTCATCCTTCCCATTGACGAACTCATATTTTTCAAGATGGTTATTGCACCACCAACCAGATAAAATTTCATAAAAATTCAGAAAAGAAGAGATAGTTTGCAGGGTCTAATGGTCTACCAGAGATTTGCCTGGTAAAATGGTGTGGTATCCTTTGAGATTTCAATTGAACTGCGGCTCAGCTTATAGCAAACCCAAAAAGGTTAGAAGAGTAGATATCCTGCCAAGATATTGCAATTAAATGACTATATTTAAAGTAGTGTTTTCATTGACTTCTACTATCAGTAGTGATATCATGATGTTAGCATTCCCATGTTTTGATAATGGAACCAATAGTGCTAGCTGACCTTTCTATTTTTTGTTGGGCTGAATGTCATCCTACATCCAAGCATGTGTTCGTCAGGCGGATGCAACGGAGGTTCGTATCGGAGAGATCTCTGCACGCGTGATGGAGCTGGCGGGGCGCCCGAACTGAAAGCCTTGGTTTGGTAGAGCAGGAGGTTGCCAGGTAGAAATTGGTACAAGGTGGTGCCCCCAAGATAGCTGAAAGTTGGTTTATAACACCAATAATTAACTAGGATATATCATGATATATCATGATATATCTATAGTTGATGGGCTTATAAAGCAATTTATAACTGGGGGGGCACCACATTGTAAGCGCAAGTATCGACCAAACTGGGGAGACCAGATAACCACAGGTCTTCACTGTGGAATGTTTGTCGCTTGGTTGTGAGTTCTTTGCCGTCCTGGATTTGCTGACTGATAGGGAAACAGATGATAGATGGTATAGTTGTGTTTTTTTCTTCCGATGGGACCCCTTAAGAAATCCATATCCATGTGTTTGCAAGGAATTTCGGGCCACCAGCCTTACCCTACCCACAGTAAGTAAGACGAGCCAGAAATGGGGGTTGAACCGGGCTGAATCAGCAGAATTAACCAAAAGGAATGAGCATGTTCAACCAACTGCAAATACGTATATATATATATATAAATATCACAATTTTGGTACCTACTAATACTAAAATCACAGTTATTTGATCTCATACAATCTTATGAACACGAAAAAATGAAGTCTGAAGTCTGAATACAAGGTTGACCAACTCTTGCCCATCTTCGTAATATGAAAATATGATTAAGTCTCGATCCATCTTCGTATGGTTAATCCCGTAGTTAACCCTCATAGTTAACCATAGTTAACCACCGTAATTCACCCCATCTATAGTCATGCTTCTTTGCAGGAGGAGCTACTTCCGCAGATCTCCTCCCGTGCAGCCGCACATCAGGGGCACGAGCGCAAGGAGGCGCGCCAGGGCATGGTACCTATCGCTGTCGGTGAAGGGTTGGTAGGGCCAAGGATCGAAGTGGAGCCAGGATCGAAGTGGGGAGATTTGAGGAGTTTGGGATATTGGAGATACGAATCTTGAATAACATTGGGATATTCAAATATCTTTACTGAATATGGGGATCTTTGGGGAGATTTGAGTATTTTTTCCGCGGAAACATTAACTAAAGAGTTTGGGATTGAACTGATTTCAATTGCGAAAGAGGCAGATTGAACTGAAGATACAATGAGATGGATTTCACCAACAAACACTGGGGTATATTTCACGGGATGGCAAAAGAACAAATCATTCTGTGTCCGAAACAGAAATGGGGAAAAGAACCCATAGTCATAGGGGCATCACCCTATATTTGAGGAAAAGCATGCAAAGCCTTTCGCTTATTTAAGCATGAAACATACCGATTAAACCCACTATGGATAGGATGTGGGAGGTCACCAACAAACATAGGGGCATTTTTAGGCTTTAACACCCACCATGATAGGATGCGTTAAGAGTTATTGAACTAATGACAATAACCACCAATTTTTGGGAGGGATTTGACAACAAATGGGAGGACGATTATATATTTGGTCTAATTCAGAGGCATTTAACCAAGGAACAACATGGTGGTGGTATAAACATCAACATTCTATAAAATATCACCATATGTGTTGATTAGGTCCCATGTTTTTGGTGCATTCGCCTGGTTTCTTGCCGCGTCAAAGCCTAAGAACTTTGGCCCTGGCAGTTTCTGCAGCGCTTGGAGAAGTTGGAAGCGGCCGCTGAAGGACGAGAATGACGTCGGTCCGGTGGCAGTTTTTCAGCATGGGTGCTACTGAGAAATGAGTCAATCATAACGATTTAACCAAGAAAAAGGATAAACATATAGTTGAATTAGTTGATTGATTATATATAGCTAAGTTGGTTGACAACTAGGTAAATTCTGTGTTTATAGTAGATACATTGACAAATTGAATGGTTTACACCAAAAATTATGGACCACCTTCCAGAAATTGGATACACCAAGCTGCTTGGTATCGCTTAACGGGGGCTTTCAATGAAAACTTTCTTGGAGTGGCTGTTCCCCAAATTTGGATCCATCTTGTGATTCCATACTGGATCATTCAACAGATCAACCCTGGTTAGTAACCCTGGTGAGCGGTGTCCCATCAATTATCCTATGGGTGAACGATATGGAGTTTGATGGTCACCGTCCCAGGAGCTGGACCAGCTCCCGAGATGCTTCTATCCAATGAGGTGCGGACAACCCGGGCCTTAGTGACGAAGATGTGGATAGAAGATGTTGATATATGTGTTACACATACATGGCGAATTGATGTTGGTCATTTTTTACACATAGCTAATTTCATCTAATTGACTTATCGATGTCTTTGATTTGGTTTGTTGTTAGACAATTGTACATTCCACCCTTGGTCTGTCCCGCCTTTGCTGTGCTGGAAGAACAAGGGCGGATCTAGCTGCAGCTGACTATTTCAGCTGGTGATTTTTTTTAAATGTGGGCAACCGAATAAAACGCACCTTTGAAAAACAAATATGATTTTAGGGAAATTTATGGCATTGGGTTTACCACGCTGAGCACTGCCTGTTGAGTTTCAATGAGTTTCATACGTGACACGGGTGCCGTTGAGAAAGATGAGAGTGACTCAGCCACCAGTGGAGTGGCAGATCCTGGCAGCATCCCAATAGAGATGCCATGAGATGCCTAGAGTTTTTAGAGGAGATCTCCATGTACCCTCTGGTATTTTTACCATTTTTTACCTAACTATTGAAAATTGCCATTTAGTAAACATTGATTTGCCCATAGCATGGTGATTTTGCATATGGAGCAGTTTACCAGGCCGGGTAACCAACTATGTTACAGAGTTTTCCTTAGTTCATAGCTGCCCATGCTGTCGCTGTCCCTTAAGCGGTGCAGTTTACCAGGTGCGTGCGCAGATGGACGAAGTGTCGGACATGGCGTCGAAGGCGCTGAAGATTGCCGAGAACAGTCTGAAGACCGAGCCGGGCCCTTCTTGCCATTGGAGTCATACATATATCACTAGCCTATGTAAGGGAATATCCCCACAACACAAAATATGGCCTTATATGGTACAGTACCTCCATTTTAGGATCCTGAAATTCCCATTGAATATATGTCATAGATCTGTCCACAAAATGGTGATTCAACGGCTGATAGATCTCCATGGAATTTCATGGAAATTCATGGAGATAGATCAGGATACAAAGGGATATTCATGGAATATGAATGAGGATACCATGATGGAGAAATGCTGAATGATGAAACATGTCCACAAATGGGGGATTGAGTTACCGACCCCCAGTCATGGCAATTTTAGACAGCTAAACAATGATTAATCAGTGATTTAAGGCAATCAATCGTTTCACTGGCAAATTGATAGGCTCGCTATACATTTTCTTTGGCCCAGTGAGCCGTGAATCAAGGCCCCTCACGTCTCTAGTCGCGGAGATTTCCCCCCACTTTCTTGACATTCATATCCATATTAGATGTGACACCATCCGAACAGTACATACATAGGTTACATATCTCATATTGGGCATGAGCTGCCCCGCCGAGGTGGAAACAACATGCAGGCCCTTCGCTTTGACTTGGTCGTAGAGCAGGAGCAGTTTCTTGCTATGTTTGCTGTGAACTAAACTCCTTATGGTTGCTGCTTTGGGACTATACTACCATGAATTTGGAGTCTTTGAACTACCATGAAATCATAGATTGAACTGGAAGATACAGAAAGCAACTGTTCTTACAATGTGTTTGGCATTGTGGAAGGGACGACAACGATACGATCATACTATGTACGGCGTACGGAAAGCCTACGACAACTAAAGTTAACATCTCACAAGGAATTGTCTCCGATATAGCCAATCAGGGGGAATCCGAAAGCCAGATGTCTGTAAACAGTGGCACTCATTCATTGGCATGGTGCATAAATACTCATAAGATCTCTTAAGAATCACCAATCTGCATGCATTCCAACCTTCATCGTTTTATGAATTCATGATAATAATAATTATCATCATCACCACCATCACCATCACTGTCGTCGTCATTGTCATCGTCGTCATCATTATCATCATTTTTATCATCATCATGTGATTCTCAATAGTTATTATTTAGGAGGCTCCTTGTCCTCTTTATTTAGGGTTATGGTGAGGATGGATACCCCTAGCTGGAACTATATCTTGGGTGGCTGGAACTATTTAAAATGATGGTTAGAACTACTTTAACTCCTGTTAAACATCTTCAAAAAAACCGTCAGAACTATATTCATTTTTGTCTAAAAATGGTCAGAACTATATTGTTTTTTATCCAAAAATGGTCAGAACTATATTGCTGTTTTTTCCAACAATGGTCAGAACTATATTAATTTTTGACCATAAACAGTCAAAGCTATAAAGCCATGTAAGACCATGTGTCAAGTTTATGACACAATTCTTAGTGGGCAAATCCCGGATGGTTGGGCCATTTTTCGGGCAACAAACGCCCACACTAATATATCCTCAAGAATAACCTTCAACATGCAGGAATTATGTTATATCATGTTGTATAAGTTGTATATTATATTTGCATATTGCGTATCACAAATCATTGTGCAATCCTTGGCCAGGGCTGAGTTGAAATCAGATGGCCTGGAAATTCAAGGGAAAGCAGGCCCAGGAAATTCAATAAAAAGGTCCAGTTTGTTTGCATAGTATATATGTGCCTGACCTTAAACAGATGCTAGTGATACTAGCTACGCCAACAAACCTGATGGCTTTATTATTGCATTGTTCCTCCAACGCAGGTCCAGTTGGGAGTGTGACAAAGCAACCCACATGTGGCCAGTATTTTTGCTCAATATACGCAAGGTCTCCCATTGGTCGGAATGACCACAGCAGTTTCGGGGGATCGGTCGGGGCTCGATGATGCTTCAACTGTTTGGGGAACTTCAGACTCAGAGCCTGAAGCAGTTGCAGATTCTGAACTTCCACCTGATCTCCTTGAGTGACTTGTTTAAACGGCCATGTCATGTTCATGTTCTCCCTCCCAACGGTTTCTAACTTGATCCATTTGTTTTTGTACACCTTATTGCGATCAGGAAGGACCACACACACACAATCAAACCGTTGGTTTTTCCCGACCGATATGCAGTTCAAAGTTGAAGTACACATCAACAGCAGCATTCCTTGTTGTTCATTTCACTTTGGGGGTAAGAAATTTCAAAAAAAAAGCAGTCTGACTGCAAATGGTCGAAGGAGATTATATATGATGCTGTGACATTGCGCCATCCAACCTTTGATGTCGACAGGAAATTTGATTTAATTTTTCGGTTTCGAGTACATCAGCTTCATGATGTTCAGATCCCTGCTTGAACAGTTGAATTTAGGAAACCATTTTTTTGGGCGTGGTGTATGTGAAAAACCCTCTTTCCACCCAAGCTCCACTTAGGACATGGGCTTGGAGAAGCCTGGTTACATGTTGTGGACCAAGAACATCATTCAGTTTCCCGAGCCCAACATCCCACAGCTTTCTGCTTCGGAGCACTAGCTGTTGGAGAATTGCTCGACACTTGGCCAAAGTCGATGTTGTTTGCAAATCAAATTTGATGTCCTGTCTTTTTGCTTTGAACGCAACAGAACGTAAGATTTACTCATCACGGCATTACGGCAAAACTTGTAGCTTTGAAATTCCAAAGGCTAGTGGTTCCTTTATTCCTGTTTGTCCGCAGTCAAACGCGGATTGGTTTCGCGCATCAGGATCAGTTTGGTTGAGGAATGCGCTGGAGCAGCTACGGCAACATATGCAATGCAACCAAGCTGGTCCAAACTTGTTATCTCAAGCGGGTATTGCAACTTTCTGGGGTGTGTGCGGGGCTTTCCGCTGGGTGAAGTCTAGCGAGGTTCGCAGAAAGTGAATCATTGTCTTGTGGGGTCCAGTGTGCGTGGCCCAGCCAAGGCAGGAGCTGAACCGCAACTTGAAGCGTCCAATACCTTTCCTTACACTGGCTGTCTCAGACATTAGCGAGTCAAAGCGGGACTTCATTGTTGCACACCATGGGGATTGCAGACCCTTGGCCAGGAAGAGGGGCCAGGCGATATCAGATAGCAAAAGCATATATATTTATATATATCACATCACTTCAGAATATCACGATATGATATGATATGATATGAAATGAAATGACCCTCCTATATAATATAAACTTGTACCGTATACTTGACACAGTGACATGCAATCGCTGATGGGGATCGGATCCTGGTATGTTTTCACTTTTAATTCGTGGCCAGGATACATGCACGGTCTCATTTGCCTCTCTTTGTGTCTGATGCGGCTACACTAGGGTACGTTGGAGATACTAGGCCGGGACTTTCGAAAGGGTGTGTAGGGCAATCATGTGTCACCACGGTCCACTTGCGCTGGACGTGATGGGGCCCCAATTGTGGTTCGCCCCAGGTGATTCTCATTTTCACCCAATGCCATTTGAGGTTGGTGTCAGGGCCATTGCCATAGCATCGTCCATCCTTGTTATTGGAAGCTAACTTGACCACGTCTTCAGTGACATGGACCACGTGATCATGGGCGGCCACTGCCAGAGTTGCTTGCGAGAACGCAGCATCGCGCACAACCACAGGTACAAAGAGGTGAGGGTAGTGGTTGACATGAGGGTTTCCAGCGCTATGGTTGGTCTACAAAAGGTTGGCGACTGTTTGATACCGCTAGAATGACCCAAAGTTCAAGGACAAATATGGTGAGTCAAGTTACCGTTGCTTGGTTCAAGGACCCAAGGTCTTCGGTGTCTCAAGTTCGAAGGTATGTGGCTGGAGTTTTGGCTGCGCTGGACATGGGAGCAAGACCGCCACCCAAAAGTGAGGACTATCCGGGAGCCATGCCGACTTCCTTTCCGACCACTCAGCTGGGATAGGTTTTGCGGGAGCGTGGAACAGTTGCCGCTTCCGGAACGGTCCAGAACTATCCAGAACCATTTCTTAGCTGAAAAGTCTATCATTTTCGGCCGGAACTATATTTTTTTTTGGGAAAAAAATGCCGGAACTATTTCCATTTGATTCAAAAAATGGCCGGAACTATTTCATTTTCCCAAACATTTTTCTTCCCGCTGCCCGTCTATTCTGCCATGTCCCCGAATGGCAGGATGGGCAAAGAACCGAGAAGTCCCGGGCAGCTGACAGGGCTGAAATGAGGCGCCTGAAGGTCGAGCTTAACAAGTAGTTACACAGAGATCCCAAAGGTTTTGGAGCGCCTCAACAAGAGGCAGACCAAGTTTCTGAACAGTGCCTATGCATCCTTGATGGAACCTCGCCTAGAGTTGGGCTAGCATGGGCTAGTGAATTGGCTCAGCATGGTTTCAGCCTGCAATCGTACGGACGTATGGACCGTATGGACCAGGACTTTCGTTGCGAGTACCATTTCCATCCTTATGATTTTTGGGAGCAGCAAGATACAAGGTAGCTCGTGGTGGCCTTAAGCACGCCCATAAGGTGTAGTTCTTGAGGATACACTGCATAACCTCCCCTGCTAGGTTCAAGACATGTTGCGCTATCTTCAGATTATTCATGTACGTTCTATCAATAGTTGAACATATGTAACATGTTTTAACTTAAGTTACCACATCTTTAAAAATGCTTCGAAAATTAACAACATAAGAAATAGATCTGGACCGTCCAGAACTATTTCAAATATATTTTGAGAAATAGTACTGAACCGTCCAGAACCGTCCAGAACTATTCCTGAGCTAAAACCCAAATAGTTCTGGATAGTTCTGGATAGTTCCGGTGTTAGAAATAGTTCTGAAATGTTCTGAACCGTTCTGAACCGTCCAGAACTATTTCTAATATATCTTTTAGAAATAGTACTGAACCGTTCTGAACCGTCCAGAACTATTCTTAAACTATTCTAAGGAATAGTTCTGTACCGTCCAGAACTATTTCTAAAGAGCCATATTATATCATGTTTTTGAACATAAATCATATTTTAGCATACTTAGTTTACAAACATGATACGCTGCCTGATGTTATTTCAAACTTATATAATTTCACTTTTCTTGTTTAAAACAATACTATCTACTTATTCCCCCTTTCTCAACTTCAAACTTGTAACTTGCATCTTTAAGCTAGCACTCCATTGCATTTCCCATGTGTCTTTTGGAATCCTGCATCGCGACCGACACTCGATTTTACCATGCTTGTTTTGCTTACATTTAACTTGCACACACTGATACGTACACTAACACGTGACACGTGTATAAATAGCGGAAGTGTGATAGTAAGCACGCCGCTTGTAGCATACAAATTTCCAAGGAAGAGAGCCAAGGAGCCAGAGGTGGAGAATGATGATGACAACGATGATTATGACGCGCAGCAGCCAGCAAAAAAGAAGAGAACCAGCAAAAGCAACAAGGGCAAGAAGAGAAAGCAGTCCTGAGATCACTTGAGTAGGGTCGGAAAGGATCAAAGGTTGTGTTCTGCGAGAGTTGCTAAGACTAACTCAGAGTTGCGGCTGGCGGACTATATGTGAGTTGGCCAGGATTGGCCATAGGGCTCTTTCGGCTTGAGTTGTAGCCCCAAATGTTATATAATCAGTTGTTTATTGGTTGTTCGACTTTTGACACACTGACTGAGGAAAAATAATCAGTAATGATGAGCTTCTGGTTTCAACATTCCCTCTTGGAAGAGCCACGCCTTCCAGCCAACATGGCGGTATCTGCCCGAAAAAGTCTCAATCCCTTTTCAAGAGCCCGAGTGCAGCCTGGCATTTCTAGAACATGTTCAAATCCGTCAAAACCAGCCTTTTTGATGTGTAGCAACCCTTTCAACTTGATCTTTGGGGAAGTGGTACTTATGTCCCTATCAATGAATACGTAACTGGTGCTTTCATGCCGGACATGCTGGACATTTGAAATGTCCAGCTCGGGTGGGGAAGCTCAAGAGCGAGTGGCTATGGCCACTGCTTGAACAGAAAGGACTCTGAAACTTGGGGAAACAAAAAGCTTGTGCTGAGGGCTTGCTGGTTTTGTCTTGGCAACAAGGTGCCACACAGCACCTTCAAATGCCTTTGGTTCTACGGGCTCGGGGGTTTCAAAGCCAAATGAATGCACACAAAGACGACGGGAGGAGGACCCCGCCCAAAAAAAAACTCAACTGTTGGAAATGGGAAATCTCCTAAGCTATGTTTAGAGATGGCCAAATGATGGGGAAGAAAACAAGATTTCCAATTTCCAACAGTTGAGATTTGTGAATGGTTGTGTTGCTTCCCTGTCTTTGAGGACTTGGGCGAATCTACCACTTCTATTCTTTCCATATAGGTTTTGGTTCGGGTCCAGCAACAAGGATAGTATGCATTAATACCCTTGGTTTCCAGCCTTTGGCAAAATGCTGGTTGCAAAATCACAACAGGACTTTATTCAATTCTTCCTTTTTGATATTGGGTATTCACTGACAAACAAAGAGTTTGAGGGCAGCTTTCAGAATGTATTCGAATGATGACGCTGATGCTGGCAGCTGGGCTTAATATTTAAGGGTGGTTCCCCTGAAAAATATCAGAATTTTTGGTTCTGGGCGAAAGTGAAGACATATGTCATGTAGCCCCCTCCATATCTTAATGAGTCTCAACATAATCCCCGTGGAATTTTGTGTGTTTTTTCATATAGTTCCAAGGGATTTTGTTTGATTTTGCAAATAGTTCCACAGGTGTTTTATTGTGTTTTTTGTGTTCCTCATATAGTTCCTGATGATTTTTAAAGGGTTTTTATCACATAGTAATATAGTTCTTGACAGTCCCATAGGTATTTCATGTGGAGTCCATATAGTTCTACATACCCTTGAGCTGCTCACCATGAAAGAGGCCAAGAAAGGTCCCAAGTTATTATCATATAAATCATGATTATCATCGTCATCATCAACAAATGATAAATAACAATTTCAATGATAATACTGATGATGATGATGATGATGACCATAATGAATAACAATGATAATCATAAACATAATAACAATGATAAAATGTAATAATAATATATATATATATAATGTGAATAATAATAATAATAGTAAGTAACAATGATAATGATAATGATAATAGTATTGACAACAATAATAATCATAATAATAATAATATAGTGATGATGATAATATATAACAAGAATGCTATTCATTCTTGTCTTCGTCATATTGTTCAACGCTAACCCGTCGGTGACCCCCCACAATGGGACGGTCACCGGGACGGTCACCTTTCCGGTCACGGCTTTCCGGTCGGTTGGTTGAATCCCATCACCAGCCCATCGTCCAAAATGATGCATTTGTGGTATCAAATGCCCTCTGGTAAACTAACATAACTATGGGAAATCACCATTTTTAATAGGTAAACCCAGGTAAACCATCTATAAATGGGCCATTTTCCATGGCTACGTTAAATAACCAGAGGGTATCAAATACTTACTTGTGCTAAACGCAGGGAATTTTCGGGAATGATCCCAGTCATCACTAGTAATGTCATCATCCCAGCAACCCCCAGCAACCCATCCATTCCCTACGTTTAGCACCAGTAAGAATATGCTTGGTTCATCACTCTGAAAAAATCGTATGGAGTTGGTATCCTCACTTTTTTGGTTCATAGCTGCAAAAAAATGCAGATTTTTGCAGCCGTGACCAAAATCCTGGCTCTACTACCCTTCGATTGCCTTTGAATTGGGAACTCCGTTCTCAACCAACCAGTATGTTCAGGGATGATAACCCAACAATATCACTATATCGTTGGTTCATTATATTCCCTTATATTCCCATTACATATCCCCATGTGTAATTGGTGTTTCCATGATTTTATTATAAACCCTTTGTTAAATCTTATTAATTCCCCTTTGTCATTAGTTAAATCCACCATTACTATAGGAAACCATCCTCGACATCTGCTTCCCACGTGAATTTCCGAGGAGCGCGTAGCAAAGCTGGGCAAAGAGCTGCAAAGTCTCTCCAACTCCTTCCGTTTGGGCCCCTGGTGCTGATGCTTGTGATAAGAAATACACAACCGACAAAAGACCAGAGAGGTCATGCTATCACCTGGGATTTCAACATGTTCAAAGGATTCCACCCGAAATTCGAAGCGAAACCATGGTTTCGCACTGGAACGACTGCCTTCTGGGGGGTTCAAACAAGTGCGGAGTTTTTGATATGATGTTGGCTGTGGCTATCTATTTTCAGTTCATTTCATCATGGTTAAATCTGGCCGACTTCCTTCATGTTTCATCAGGCTTGATAAATGTCCTGTTTTGGGGACTTGTTTCACACTTGAAAACGTATTTCTTGGTGATTATATCCCCAATATATCCCCAATATATCCCCCAATATATCCCCAATATATCCACCAACATATCCCCCAATATATCCCCAATATATCCCCCAACATATCCCCCAACATATCCCCCAATATATCCCCAATATATCCCCCAACATATCCCCCAATAGATCCCCAATATATCCCCAATAGTTGGGTGATGTTCAGACATTGACCAACTTGACCAACCCCCCTCACTGCGTTCCACCGGAACGCCGTTAGGGGCCATGGCGCCATCTCCCGGCATCAGGCGATGAGCAAAGCAAGATCCAACACACGGCGGAACGACAGGAGGCCGACTTCCTATCTGAGGGGGTTCGCCTCTAACGTGGCCTGGGAAATCATCTATACATAGAGAATCATAGAGGTTTTAATATGTTTTAATATGTTTTGGTTGGACAATCAGCTTAAAATGGGTTACTTTCGAGCAAAGCATGTTGTACCGGAGGGCAACTGGGCAATCATCCACTGGATCCTCAAATGGATCGATCCAAGACATCCAGGTTTTCTGAAGGGTGATTTGATATTAGAGACAGGGGATACCCTCTGGTAAATAAACTCGTTGACCCTGAAAATGGCCTAGTTTTAATGGAAACGAATCTTCCAACCCCGATGACTTCCAGGGTCTATGTGTCTATGTTAATTTACCAGAGGGTAATCCAATTTCAAGGTACCCAATTTAGACCCATACCCATGTTTCAAGCGCAGATAAATAGTTCCATTTTTGAAGGAACCAAGTGAGAACCACACAGTGTATTGTATGGAGTTGAATCAGACTCTTCGGTTTCAATTTTAGCCAGGCACATTTTGTGGGTGCACGTTTAGCAGACCAGACCCAACATGTGTACCAAATCCTTCCAATACATTCTTATATCCTCAAAGGTTCCTCCAGAGCTCCTGTAACTTCATTCCGCACATGTGTCATTGAAATCCTGCATTTCTTCATCCAGTTGTCACGAAATTTCTTGGTTTATCTGAACCTCGGTTGGCAGAGGGGTTTCTCGGTTTCTCCCAGTGACCATTTCCTGCTACCTCAAAGGTCAATCAAGGGGATTGATAAGGTGATTCTTGATGGAACAACATGATGTGACTGTGCGGACTCTCACATTTTTTTTGGGATGCTCCGCATCCAAATCATCTATGTTTTTTTTTAAGGCCACACATGATGTGAAAATCACTATCTGTTGATGGTTTACCATGGTTTGTGTTCCCTTCATTTTGCCAGCGTATACCATGGTGTGTACCATTTTCAGTCATTGGATGTTGTTGGTGATATCTCCCATTACATCACCACTATTACCACGATACTCCTTTTCTGGACCAGATGTGTAACCTATTTCCAGACATGGGAAAATTGGCATACGTTTTGACACTGTCCATCTGTATCCCATATGCGCTATATCTCAACAACCACATGGAGAGACAGTGGATACTGAATGATATTGACATAAAGTATCTCGAAATATCAAGACAAGTTGAATTGAAAAGTGCTGTAAGATACCGACATAAATACAGAATGATATTGAATATCAACATATCCATCAATATCTCAAAATATCTCGATAACCACCATTAACATATATTGGAGGTTTCCTAAAATGGGGGTACCCCTAGTTATCATCCATTTTAATAGGATTTTCCACTATAAACCATCCATTTTTGGGTATCCCCATTAATCATCATTAATTGCCATTACTAATCATCATTAATTACCATGATTCATCATTAACCATGCATTAGTCATGGTTCAACAATCTGTTAACCGTTAGTCATCATCATTAATCATCATTTCACCATAGATAGTTTCGATAAACCATTCCCAAATGGGTGGTGTTAACCATATATATGTATATATATATATATAGCATATATCATCATATATCATTAATCGTTGATCATTTCTGATATGGTGGTATACCATTTATTGGATATATACCATATATATATATATATAATCATCATATATACCATTGATCATTAATCATTTGTATATATGTATATACCATATATCATTTATATACCATATGGTATTAACATGTATTAACCATATGGTATTAACCATATGGTATTAACCATATGGTATTAACCATATGGTATTAACCATATGGTATTAACCATATGGTATTAACCATATGTATACCATTTATGGAAACCCCCATTGATTGGACATCCCTGGCGCAGGATCATGAGCAGCGCGCCAGCGAAGCGATGCAGAAAATCGCGGCGAGCATGGAGAAGGCGAGCATGGCCGGGTAAATAAACTCGTAGACCCTGAAGATGGCCTAGTTTTAATGGAAACCAATCTTCCAAGTCCTATTTGCCAGGGTCTATGTTAATTTACCAGAGGGTAATTGTATATTCTCCTCAATTAGCTTCTGGAGATTTTTCACATATGGAGAATCACCATGTTTTTTCAAAGAGAAGGGCATTTATCATCGAAGCAAATGGGCCATCTGTAGCAATTAGATCACCCGTTTTTCGTGGGAAAAAAACCACATCTTCCAACCCCCAGGTCCAAGGCCTACAGCATGGCTACGAGGGAGGCACCTCTGCCCTCAACAAGCTGGTGGAAAGTATCGCCAAGCGCGTTGAGGTCGCGAATTCTGGGTTTTGATCAAAAAATGGCGATGGAATGGGGATGATTTACCCACCATGGGAGATTTGGCGATTCTCCCATGAAACCATGAAAAATGTTCCTTTTTGCCGTAGAACAGTAATTATCCTGCACATTTAACTATGATTCAAGTATGATTTAATGGGAGAAGCTTTGATGGGGATTGTCATGGAGATCAACTATCAACGGCAAATGAGTTGGAGAATCCACGCAGTCGCGGATGGAAATATTCCGATACATTTGTTGGAGGGATTTAGATGTCCATTCTGTTTGGAGCATAATGGGATGCATGATCATATTCCATATACTATGTTTTGACCGTGGCACAGTGGCACTTGGGTACTCCCTGGGATTTAACATGGAACCCCAAAAATCACCATATTTAAGTGCAAAATGTTTCAAACTCAATTCTTGATGGTCCATGTGGAATTTGGGGAGTGTAAGTGAAAATGAGAGACACTGAGAAGTAAGTGTTTGACCATGTTGGCACACGCAAGTCATCCCCCTTACCCATGTTACCAATTTCAGGGGTTTATACCTTTACTACAATTTACAATCTACAATAATACTGCCATGTATCCGCATGAATTGTATTTTATGATGGGCTTCTATCCACAGCATGGCCTTTTTCCTGTTCCCATGTGATCACTACTATGCTATTATACTAATATATTCCTATTTGAATCTAGAATACATATAATTAATAATATATATATATATACATATTGCAATATATATATATACATATTGCAACATATATACATATTGCAACATATAATGTATCATCTCTAAACCCATATGGTTCTTTGTGGTTCCATCCCCTTGCCGCTCCTTTTTCGCCAGGCCGCCGAAGCGGCCTTGGGCGAGCGGGAAAAGGACGTTCCGCCTGCGGCCAGCGAGGCGAGGGGTGAAGTTGTTCGAGCTTCCAGCTCAAAGGGTCTTGGTTGACCTGGTTGACCCAAAAAAAATCCTAGGAGCGTATTTCAGAAGACTTTTTTTCGGCCCTTTATTTCAGAAGTCTTAGGCTCATGGGGTAGTTGAGATTCTTTGAAGGGGATTCAAATAGGAAAGGAATGGAGACATGAATTGAACCACGAAAATTGATGCTCTTGAAATCCGAATACTTTATTTAGGGGGCTTCATTAAATAAATAATTAAATAAGTCATTAATTGATCAATTACTTTATTTAGGGGCGAAATCAGTGAAAAACATACTCAATTAATCAGACGGTATTGAACAAACATCAAGCATTTTATTTAGGAGATCAAAACGAAGAAAAACAATGAAAAAACAAAAAGCACAAAAACAAAACAAAACATAACAACTCAAGAATTGGTTGGCGTACTTTATTCATGATGTGTTTAATGGCACCCAGACATTATATATATATACATATAATAAGGAAAGCCCCTCGTCTGTGACGCGGAAATCTTCCTCATCTGTGACGCGGACGCGTTTCCTCAACTGTGACGCGGTCCCTCCGTTGTGACGCGAGGTGGGGTGTTGCGTGGCAGGCGTGGCACTTTGTGCCATCGATGGTCTCCTTGAGTGGCGCGTGTTGGGCTTGGTGACATCGACTTTGCCTTTCTTTGGTTGTCCCAAAGCGGGCTTGCCTAGTTGTTCTGCTCCTTTTTCCCGTGGCTCTGATTCTGTGCTCCTTCTCTGTCTGGTGGTCCGTTTGGCCCGCTCAGCTGCCCAAGTCCATCAAAACGGACCTTCCTAGCTCGTCTGCTCTTCATCTGCTTAGCTGTGCTCCTTGCTCTTTCTGGCTGTCCGTTTTGGCCGCTCAGCGGTCCAAATCCGTCAAAACGGACTTCCCCAGCTCTCCCAGTACTGGTTTGCTTGGCGGTGCTCCTTGCTGTGTCTGGTGGCCCGCCTTGGTAAGAGAGCCGCCGAAATGCTTCAAAGCGGGCTTGCCCAGCTGTTCTTTTGTTTTGTGTCCTCCTTTCTCCTGTGGCTGTGCTTCTGTGCTCCTTTCTCTCTCTGCTACTCCGTTTTGTCCGCTGAGCGGCCCAAATCCTCCAAAACGGACCGCCCCAGCTTCCACTCTTCGTCTGCTCGCCTGCGCTCCTTGCTCTGTCGTGTGGTCCGTTTTGGCCTCTTAGCGGCCCAAATCCTTCAAAACGGACCTCCCCAGCTCTTCCACGCATTATAACGTCCATGTTCCTCTACACACACAGGCATGACAACCTCATCACACGAGAGCTGGCCTGGCGGTGGGTCTCTGTCCCTTTCTCTCCCTGGTGGTCCGTTTTGGCCGCTCAGCAACCCAAATCCTCCAAAACGGACCTCGCCAGCTTGGTCAGCTTGGCTGTGCTCCTTGCTCTCCCTCTGGTGGTCCGTTTTGGCCGCTCAGCAGCCCAAATCCTCCAAAACGGACCTCGCCAGCTTGGTCAGGTTGGCTGTGCTCCTTGCTCTCCCTCTGGTGTCCGTTTTGGCCGCTCAGCAGCCCAAATCCTTCAAAACGGACCTCGCCAGCTTGGTCTGCTTGGCTGTGCGCCTTGCTCTCCCGCTGGTGGTCCGTTTTGTCCGCTGAGCGGCCCAAATCTCCCAAAACGGACCTCGCCAGCTTGGTCTCCTTCCTTGCTCTCTCCCTGGTGGTCCGTTTTGGCCGCTCAGAAGCCCAAATCTTCCAAAACGGACCTCGCCAGCTTGGCTGTGCTCCTTGCTCTCCCTCTGGTGGTCCGTTTTGGCCGCTCAGCAGCCCAAATCCTCCAAAACGGACCTCGCCAGCTTGGTCAGCTTGGCTGTGCTCCTTGCTCTCCCTCTGGTGGTCCGTTTTGGCCGCCCAGCAGCCCAAATCCTTCAAAACGGACCTCGCCAGCTCGGTCCGCTTGGCTGTGCTCCTTGCTCTTCCTCTGGTGGTCCTTTTTGGCCGCTCAGCAGCTTAAATCCTTCAAAACCGACCCCCAACTCTTCCATTGGTTGCAGGTGCAGGGGAGGGTTGAATTTACAATCTTCAGGTTAAGAGCCTTGCCCTCTGCCGACTGAGCTAGACATCCCTGCCATATAGGACATGATCTGCAAATTTTGGCAGAAAAAAGGTGTATCCAGACAGGATCTCACAGAAAGCCACAAGCAGACAGCCAGGAAGAGAGAGAGCAGACACAGGTACAACCTCTGTGCCCAGCGAGATCGGTGAAAAAGTCGAAGGTCTCTGTCCCTGTCTCTCCCTGGTGCTCCGTTTTGTCCGCTGAGCGGCCCAAATCCTCCAAAACAGTCCTCGCCAGCTTGCTCTGCTTGGCTGTGCTCCTTGCTCTCCCTCTGGTGCTCCGTTTTGGCCGCTCAACAGCCCAAATCCTCCAAAACGGACCTCGCTCTCCCTCTGGTGGTGCGTTTTGGCCTGGCCAGCTTTGTGTACTTGGCTGTGCTCCTTGCTCTCCCTCTGGTGGTCCGTTTTGGCCGCTCAGCAGCCCAAATCCTCCAAAACGGACCTTGCCAGCTTGGTCTGCTTGGCTGTGCTCCTTGCTCTCCCTCTGCTGGTCCGTTTTGACCTCTCAGCAGCCCAAATCCTTCAAAACGGACCTCGCCAGCTTCGTCTGCCGGGCTGTGCTCCTTGCTCTCCCTCTGGTGGTCCGTTTGAGCCGCTCAGCAGCCCAAATCCTTCGAAACGGAGCTGCCCAACTCTTCCACTAGCTGTGGGTGCAGGGCAGGGTCCAACCTTCAATCCTCAGGTTAAGGGCCTAGCCTGCTCTCCCTCTGGTGCTCCGTTTGAGCCGCTCAGCAGCCCAAATCCTCCAAAACGGGCCTGACCAGCTTGGTCTGCTTGGCTGTGCTCCTTGCTCTCGCTCTGGTGGTCCGTTTTGGCCGCTCAGCAGCCCAAATCCTCCAAAACGGACCTCGCCAGCTTGGTCTGCTTGGCTGTGCTCCTTGCTCTCCCTCACCATTTTGGCCCCTAATCATTCAAAACAGACCTCGCCAGCTTGGTCTGCTTGGCTCCTTGCTCTCCCTCTGGTGGTCCGTTTTGGCCGCTCAGCAGGCCAATTCCTCCAAAACGGACTTCGCCAGCTTGGTCAGGTTGACTGTGCTCCTTGCTTGTCCGTTTTGGCCGGTCAGCAGCCTTCAAAACTGACCCAACCCTTCCACTGGTTGCAGGTGCAGGGTGGGGTCGAAACTTCGACCTTCAGGTTAAAAGCCTTGCCCTCTGCCGACTGAGCTAGACATCCCTGCCATACAGGGACTGATCTGAAAATTTTGGCAGAAAACCGGTATATCCACAGACAGGCTCTCACAGAAAGCAACCGCCACAAGCAGAGGCAGCCAGGAAAAGAGAGAGCAGACACAGGTACAACCTCTGTGCCCAGCGAGATCGGTGAAAAAGTCGAAGGTCTCTGTCCCTATCTCTTCCTGGTGCTCCGTTTTGTCCGCTGAGCGGCCCAAATCCTCCAAAACGGAACTCGCTCTCCCTCTGGTGGTCCGTTTTGGCCGCGCAGCAGCCCAAATCCTGCAAAACGGACCTCGCTCTCCCTCTGGTGGTCCGTTTTGGCCGCTCAGCAGCCCAAATCCTTCAAAACGGACCTCGCCAGCTTGGTCTGCTTGGCTGTGCTCCTTGCTCTCCCTCTGGTGGTCCGTTTTGGCCGCTCAGCAGCCTAAATGCTCCAAAGCGGACCTCGCCAGCTTGGTCAGGTTGGCTGTGCTCTTTGCTCTCCGTCTGGTGTCCGTTTTGGACGCTCAGCAGCCCAAATCCTCCAAAAGGGACTCCTGGGGGAGAGCACAGCCAAGCAGACCAAGCTGGCGAGGTCCGTATTGGAGGATTTGTGCTGCTGAGCGGCTAAAACGGACCACCAGGGAGAGAAAGGGGCAGAGACTCACCGCCAGCTCTCATGTGATGAGGTTGCCGTGCCTGTGTGCGCACAGGAACATGGACGTTATCATCCCACCCCCGCTGACCCCACCCACCCCCCAACCCTCAGTTGAAGAGGCTGGGCTAGCGTCCGTTTAGAGATTTGCGGCTGCTGCGGCCAAAAGGCGCCACCAGGCGAGAGAAAGGGGCAGAGACTCACCGCCAGCTCTCGTGTGATGAGGTTGCCGTGCTTGTGTGCGCCACAGGACATGACGTTCTCGATCCCACCTCACCCCACCACCCCCACCCACCCCACCCCACGCCCACCCCCCCACCCCACCCCCCAACCGAGTGGAAAAGCTGGGTAGGTCCGTTTTGGAGGATTTGGGCTGCTGAGAGGCCAAAATGGTGCAGCAGAGGGAGAGCAAGGAGCACAGCCAAGCTGACCAAGCTGGCGAGGTCCGTTTTGGAGGAATTGAGCTGCTGAGCGGCCAAAACGGACCACCAGAGGGAGAGCAAGGAGCACAGCCAAGCTGACCAAGCTGGCGAGGTCCGTTTTGGAGGATTTGGGCTGCTGAGCGGCCAAAACGGACCACCAGAGGGAGAGCAAGGAGAGAGAAATGGACAGAGACTCACTGCCAGCTCTCGTGTGATGAGGTTGCCGTGCCTGTGTGCGCACAGGAACATGGACGTTATCATCGCACCCCACCCCCACCCAGTGGAAGAGCTGGGTAGGTCCGTTTTGGAGGATTTGGGCTGCTGAGCGGCCAAAACGGACCACCAGGGAGAGAAAGGGGCAGAGACCCACCGCCAGCTTTCGTGTGATGAGGTTGCCGTGCCTGTGTGCGCACAGGAACATGGATGTTATCATCCCACCCCACCCCACCCCCCACCCCACCCCCACCGAGTGGAAGAGCTGGGTAGGTCCGTTTTGGAGGATTTGGGCTGCTGAGCGGCCAAAACGGACCACGAGGGAGAGAAAGGGACAGAGACCCACCGCCAGCTCTCGTGTGATGAGGTTCCGTGCCTTGTGTGGCGCACAGGAACTGACGTTATCATCCCACCCACCCCACCCCACCCCAAACCCCCAACCCACCCACCACCAACCCCACCCACCCTACAGATGTGTCACTGTCGAGAAATTATAATGAGGGGAAAATGGTGTCGCAGATGAGGGAAAATCAGGGGGTTTTGGTGTCACAGATGAGGGGGATTTGGTGTCACAGATGAGGGGCTTACCATATAATAATATACACATATAATAATATATAATATATATATAAGTAAGTATATATGTATATATATTGTATTTAAATGCATATAAATTATGTTCCATGTCCCAATTGTGATTTCGTGATTGGTCCAATTTGGCCAACGCTCCACATGTCTTGACCCATGTCTTGACCCATGGCGCAGGTGCACATGCTACGCGATGAAATCAAGGCAGATCTCAATTGGATTGAGAGTACTTCAAAGGTATCTTGTGATGGCAAACAAAGCGTGGGTCAACAGCCCGAACCCTGACACTCAGCAGCCGACGAAGAGAAGCTTCGCCGAGATGACGGGCCCGCTTGAAGCTGATGGTCCAAAGCACAGAAAAAGGGGGAGTGAAGCAATTGTGTGTGATTATGGCTGAACCCCCAAATTGGGAAACACCCGTAAGCCGTAATGACCAAAAAAAAGGGTTGAGGCCGCATGATCAAAAAAAAACATTCATTTGGGTTCCTAGGTATATATATATATCTGGATGAATCATAATGATCTCACCAAAAAACGTCACTGGAATGATGGTTTATATATGGGCAATTGTCCCCAAATTGCCAAACTTTCGAGCTATTTTCAGATTGGTGAATGATGATATTGCAGCCAGAATAAATGGTACAGTTGGTAATAGGGATACTGCAGGGAACCACCTGTGTCAAATGAAGGTTGATGGATTTTGTTGTGTATTTGATGGATTCTGTCATGGATTTTACCAGACATGGTAAGGATAGTCTTGTTGGAAGGTTTCAGGATATAAGGTGGGTCTAAAGAACAATGCTGGAAGGTCAAACAGGCCGGGTTGCGGAACATGTTTTTCCAAATGTCAAGTTGATTCTTCTGATGACATCCAGGAGTGTAGGCAGTGTAGGATGGATGGCGCTTCACGTTCGTGTTACAGGCAACTGAACCAACTTATGGGGCTGGCAAAATCCACTGTTTTCATGGTCTTGGGTGCAGTATGCGTCAGTATCTACTCGTACTTTGGATTTGGCATTTGCTATTTTTGATTTCTGAACTAAACAACTTCCATGCGTGGTTCATGACACCACTTTGCAAAATATGCAAATCAATGCAAATGAATTGAATCCTCTTTTCCTTCGCCTTTATTTGCCCAGAAGTACTCGCATGGAGGTCAAGTAGCTGTCCTCTAACAGAGCGGGGGAGCCTTTTTCCATGGATAATTGAAACTTGTCAGTTCCTGGAATTTCCAAGCGGATCATTTGGAAGTAAAGCCTTTGAATTGTTCAAATTAACTACCAAAAAAACCCGGTGAAACATAGATTACGGCTACTGGTGTCATAGATCAATTAAGGAAGTTGTTTAACCCATTGGTAGCAATCGATGAAACCAGTAGCAGTTCCTGCGATGGATCATTTGCAGGGCTGCTCCGGTGGAGGGCCAAAGGAGGACGGATCGTTTCCATTTCAGTGGCGAAGGAGGGAGTGGCTGGTGGTTTTAACGATATTGGACGTTGCCAAAATTGCGACTGTTTTCAAAACAGTTTTCAAGAGTATGTTTACAACTTACGACTTACATATTGATTCCAAAATTATTCATGTCGTTTCGCCAAAGGTCTTATATTCGGATATGACCGACACATGATCGGTATATCATATTTGACTAACATGATGGACAATGATGGAATCGAGACACATCATCAGTAAATGTTTGGTGCAAACTGCTATCATAGGGGTGTGAATTCTTCAATTCCTGGAGACATCATGTGAGAGCAGAAGAATCAAAAAACCAAATCTAAATGCATCCATCTGCGGTAGCATTGAATACAGCAGCTGGTAATATCAGGATGATCAAAGAATTGCCAGCGATTTGATGTTCGGAATCAGGCTTTGGATCCATAGCCCAGGTAGCCCAGCCTGGTTTTACGGTGAACCGGTGAAAGCCACTGAAGTTATCTGAAGTTTGTGTTTGGAATGATCAGGAGATCAGAAAAATGCAAGTCACTGTTGGATACCCTCTGGTAATTTAACATAGCTATGGACAATCACTATTTTTTAGGGGAAAATCCACTATTTCTATGGCCATGGCTTCAATAGCTATTTTGACATAACCAGAGGGTAATTTACTTCCAATCTTTGAGGCTTCAACCCAGTCCAATTTGATGTAGCGGAAAGCATTTTCTGTCGTCTCCAATCGGTCGAAGATATCCATTGTCCATGTCTCAAAATGATCATGTCGAAAGACAATGGCTCTAATTGGTGCCAAAACTGAACCACCCTGGTTGGTGGTTTGGAATATGATTTTTATTTTTCCGTATATTGGGAATGTCATCATCCCAACTGACGAACTCATATGTTTCAGATGGATTGAAACCACCAACCAGACAACCATTTGGGCTCAAAATTGGCAAAAAGGAGTTGCTGCTATCCCCATGAGATGCTTTTGTGATCACCACAGCTGTGACTGGTTGAATCCCTATTCCTTGGTAAAACATATGTTACGTCACATGCAGCCAGGCTGCGTTGACCATTCATGCCTGTTTGTTTGTGCAGATTGCAAACTAACCCGTCCAGTACATCCCGTTCATTGGTGACGTGTCCATGACTTGTTTGGTGAATTCCATGTAGATTGCTGGTTAAATTATATTTATCTATTTGGGTTTGTCTGAAGATTTCAGGGAAAACCCGGATTTTATCGCTGGCTTATCATCATTTTCTCCATAAAATAGTTGTTTATTGTGAGTGCGTATCCCATATGTTCAGACATACGCATGTGTTTCTTGAAGTTCTCAAAATTGTTTGTGCAGTTGTGAAAATCCCAGCCCGTTGTTACTTGGTTCATGTTGGTTTATCTCGCCAAGTGTTGCTTTAAAAAATGTTCAAACATCACGAACTTATCCCCAAATTTAAGATGGAACCCCAAAGATATTGGATTTGGAAGCTGATTTTCCGCACAGCGTGAAATTATAGGAGTATAGCAACCTCCGAAAAAGATCGCTGGCAAAATCCATGTCCAAAATGGCGCTTTTATCCCAAACCTTGTATTTTTGCTGCTTGATCCAATCTATTTCCCCACATCCTCGGCCAGGACGCCACATTGGTGCCCCGAGTCGAAGAGATGGCGCGACACGTGGAGGTGTGGCGCAGCCATGCGCACCCCCCAAAAAGGGACACCAATGATAGGGAAAACATCATGAAACTATCCTCTGGTAAACTAACATACAGTAACCATGGAAAATCACCATGCTATTAATGGGTAAATACACTATTTCTATGGCCATTTGCAATACCTATGTTAAATTACCACAGGGTACCTGGAAATATTGTTTTTCTGTCTTTTTTGGGACTCCTAACTACAAGAACTGCTAGGTTTGATGATGGGGGGGAAAGAAATTGCATTGGGCCACCAGAAACCAAGATTCAAAGGGGACGGGGTAGCACTTTGGCCTATTATTAAAGGGAATGTACGGCCCCCAAGTGGCAATTGAAAAATACGTGATGGAGTACCCGGTTTCCCCCAAGGTTGGATGATGGTCCCATTTGTTTCGATCCCTACAGCTCCAAACAACTTCGACTGTACTTGGGGTTTGTCTTTGGGGTGTTTGGAGCACTAGGGGACATGATCATCCCAGAATTATCTTGACACAATAGTCACCCCAATAGATGATCACCCAATAGTCCAACTGATTCTCTTACAATTGACTATTGATTCTCTTACATATCCCCAATTGAGAGGGACTAGGATTACTGTAACCTCTCAATTGGGGTTGACTCTGCGTGTGCCCCTGAAACTCGTTCTCTTTATAACTTGGGCCGCGATGACTCCCTGAAACGATTAAAACAAAGATGTGCAAACATATCAAAAATAGATCAATAAATCGCCGTTTTCTGTCATGAAATGTCATGAAATGTCATGAAATGTCATGAAGCCCAAGTTGAAATTCAAAATAATCCGCAAATGATTGAGATTCACTGGCTATTCCATGGTTTGTAAGAAATTTCTTGTGAGACATCTCAGCCCCAGAAGGTGACCGGTGACTCCGGTGACGCGCCAGGGGCACGCATCGAAAACACGGTTGTGAAGCTACTTTAGTTAACCAACTTACTGTAGCTAAGGATATCATCCAACTAAAGTCAACTAAGTATCTCAATCTTATGTAAGTTATTGTAAGTTATTGTAAGTTATCTCAATCTTCAACTTGCACAAAAATGTCAATCTTCATTCCATCCAACTCCTTCCGAACTGCAGGATGTGGAGAAGCAGCTGTTGGAAAAGGTCCTAGTCTCAAAGATCTGAGAGCGAAGGTCCTGGGGGTTCACACACATTTTTGTTCATTCCATGGAAAGAAAGCTATACATGTTCCATGAAACAATGATAAACCATGATAAACCATGATAAACCATGATAAACCATGATAAACCATGATAAACCATGATAAACCATGATAAACCATGATAAACCCACTAAACCATGTGTGTTGCTGATTTGTTGGCTTTGTTTAGGGGTCCACCAGTTGTAACCTTGGGGAAAAAAGAAAACAGCAGGATGAAGGCATTTGCTTCACAATGATCTCACCGTTTTTGTTGCTCATTGGGCACGCTCAATAAAGTGCTCTTCAGTATGAAAATAAATTCCGTTGATTGTATAGTTGATATATATATATATATAATTATATATATATATCGATATATGAACATATATATTGATAAATGTTAGTATATGTTAATCTAGTGTATGTCTGTGTTTCTTAAATCACAATGTACATGTATCATCATGTATAATGCATTTATTTTATCATACATTTATCATCGTCAGTTTGCTGTCATATCCTTAGTTAGCAACTCTCTTCACCGTTCGGTGACAGCATTTTTAACTTCGCCCTGTGCCTGCCAGTTGCCCAAAAAATTCTCTGGGTACTTTAAGTGGATGGAGCTGAGAAAAAACATATCTTTTAGATTTTAGGGTATACTTATATATAATTGCTAAATGAATGGAACTTATGAAACTTGAAGGTTAAAAGATGTTGAAATCCTGGTTAAAAGGGGTCGAACATGGCTTCAGGCTGGTCTCTCAGTTGGCTTCCCATTACCCTGACCCAAGGTGGAGGAGATCGAGAAGCTGACCGCGAAGATGGTGAAGATCGGAAGAACTACTGAGGCCACGTTTGGGATCGTTTGGCTTATGGATATAAAAAGTATTGATATTTGAACCATATATTTACCCTCTGGTAAATTAACATAGACCCTGAAAATCACCAATTGTTAGAGGAAACTAATCTTCCAACCCCTATCTACCAGGGTCTATGTTAATTTACTGGATAGTAATAATATCATATAATAACCCCGATTGTCAATAAGTTATTTACCCTCTGGTTATTTAGTTATTTAACAGTTCGCCATGGAAAGATCATGAAAAATCCACCATTCTTAAGCGGTAAACCATCTATAAATGGGTCATTTCCCATGGCTATGTTGAATAACCAGAGGGTATATCGGATTTGAAATTTAACCATCAATATTGGGATATGCATGTGATAAACGATATTGCTGAAATGTTGTTAAATAGATGTTGTATAGCTGTTCATGAAAAGATTAGACTTAGCATGAACTCAACAATAGATAACAATAGGGGTTTGATTCATTCACAGCCATAGCCAAAGCCACCATCGTTACCTTGACATGGTCAGTATGTGTGTATGTGTACCGCGTCAGCATACGGGGGTTCACTGTTGTAGTGGTCAATGGAACGACTATCAACCACTCGCTATATACTCTGCTCAAGTTGTTTGGCTTCAAGGGTTCAATCTGTAATCATTCCTATACCATTCCGATGTTGGTTGCTACCCTCGTTTGAGTTGAGTAGCAAAAAAGATCGGGTTTGAAAGGCACATCTTTTTGTTCACCCTAGAGTGGGCCAACATAGATGTTCATATTTTTCTACTCAAACAGGTTGACTTGAAATTGTATCAGAAAGATGCTGGCTCCCAGTCTATTTTGATGGTTTCACCGCAGTCATTTCCCTAAGACCCTTTTGATGGTCGAAGATGGCACGGCCGACTGGAAACCTGTCCTCGGAGAATCCCCCGGGTTTATCGATGCACTGGACCTTGACTGGTAATCACAAAAAACGGCTCTTCCTGGATCCTGGATCCATGTTCCATACCCTCTGGTAAACTAACATAACTATGGAAAATCACCATTTTTAATGGGAAAATCCATGAAAATCCGCTATAAATGGCCATGTTCAATAGCTATGTTAAATTACCAGAGGGTACTAAGAATGGGAAACTGCTGGTGATGAATACAGAAGATGAACATATCACAACATCACAGTGTTGCTGGCTGAATATCTTAATCTAAGCTTGAGGTTCCAGAATATATACAGTAAAAATGAATCCAACCTAGAAAAACATGTTAATCCTATATATATATATATGTATATAAACTGCATCCGCTAAAATATCAGATATATTGGATAGGTAAACATATCAGATATATGCATTAATGCAATCAATATATATATATATATCCGATATATATCATATATAACATTTTAACCGATAAAATGGTTAAAATCCCATTCTTTGGGATGTCTTTTAGTGCATCATCCGCCACAGGAGCTCCGGAGAGACCTGGATGATGCCTTGCAAAGGGTGGAGGCCGGGCGCGGGCGATGGTAGATGTCCGGGGCCTCCACACGAGCTATGGAAGGTGATGATTTTGGAGGTAGATATCCTAGATCTATAGCTTTTTCTCCATAGTAAATTAGATGATGTCATCCTAGATCTAGATTTCTTGTAGAAATTTGCTACTGTATGTAATGCTATGTGTATATATATATATATATATATATGTTTTTGGAGGAATCTCCAATGTTTGAACCAGCCATTGTTTAAATAAGGTGCGACGTGTGTGGCATGAATTTTTGGTCGTTGTTATTCAATTGATATTATAGACTAGATCAATCTCCCAGCAAAATCAGTTATAGCAAGCCCCAACAAGATAGAAACAATGAAATCATAATATATGATGTTTAGTTTGAATACAATGAAACTTATCATGAAATATATCATATAACCCTATCCAACAATATATATTTGTATATACACATGATGTATACATCATTATAAATCATGAATAGTGGTGAATCTAACCTGTCACAACCTGTCACAACCTGTCGATCGAGGATTGCGACGTTGGTCGTCCCAGGCCTCAGAAGAAGCCTCCGAGGCCGTCCGTGAGGAGCTCATGGCGGAGGCGAGGTTGGACCTTCGCACGGGACTTCGATGGCGATGTAAACTCGATGGGTTTAACTGCTATTACCCTCTGGTAAATTAACATAGACCCTGAAACTGACCAATTTATAGTGGAAACTAGTCTTTCAACCCCCATCTGGCAGGGTCTATGCTAATTTACTGGAGGGTAACTACGGAAAATCCACCATTACAACCCCAAAAAGCTAGGGTAGTAAAGGTGGTGAGTGGTGAATTTCACGAGGTTCACTGGGGGAAATCCCCTCATGAGACCCTAATGATATCTACTTATTATAGTAAAATTTAATTGCTGCAAGCAATCGACCGGGGGCCCCACATTGTAGGCAAAAAGACGGTAGGTATGTGGACATTGTGACAGAATGTGACAGAATATGACTGAATTGGGGAAACTGGCACTTTATATAAATTCTTTTCCAGACAAACCCAGTTGCAGGATCTATTTCTTTCTGGGGATATTCATGTTGGTTATCAATTTCAGGATCTATTGCTCTCTTTGCAGGTGATTGATCGCATCTAAAGTTATATGGCACATATGATTATAATATGGGGAGAGCAGCTAGTAGTGAAAATTGAATCAAACAAGCGAAGTCGAGCAGCACAGATTCACCGGCAGACAGACACGGAGATGTTGCCAAGATTCATGTGGATGCAAGCATCAATACAAGGATAGACGCAGCCAACATGTCAGGATATGAAAAGCAGGCGCATTGATATTTGCCACGCGAGCAGGTATGTTATATTTGGAATATAAGCAACACTGATGCAAAGCGTAGTCAACAATGGATACAGGTCACATCCCTTTGTGATAACGTGGCCGAATCCAATGGGTTGTGGGCATCAGCAGGGTCCTTCACCATGCAACCATGACTTGGGCATTCAAGCAATGAGTATCGACAGAAGCAAATACATAATATTGATATGGGTTTGTCTCAAAATAGGTTACCCCAAATTTTGATGCTTAACTGCTTAGTCATCATTTTCCCTACTAAGATGGTCATGCTGTAAGTAGATAAGTATCTGCCATTATCAGACCTATGACCAGTCAGGGGATATCATGGGATATCACCAGTACCAGACGCTTCGACAGTGAGACCAGCCCGCTATGTTTGGGGATACAGAACTGGTTGGTGGTTTGGAACATGATTGTTAATAATCACTGCTTGGTGGTTTCAAACATGACTGGATTATTTTCCATTTCATATATGGGATGTCATCCGAAACCCATTGACGAACTCCATCATTTTTCAAGATGGTTATTGCACCACCAAGTAGAAAATAAGCAGATAATATATGGGATGTCATCCTTCCCATTGACTTTCATATGTTTCAAGATGGTTAAAACATGTTAAAACCACCAACCAGAAAATAACGATTGACATATGACCATCAAAAGCTCAAGGTTTCAAAGACCATGATATGTCTAGGGCCAGGTCCTTAGGTGACAATGTTCGTTGAGACCTGCCAGGGAGGCATCGGTCGATTCTTGGGATGTTTAGTGGTTCTGGTGTCAAGATCGTTGTGCCACTGTACCACCTAAGAAAGGAAGCAGACCTGGCTGGAATTGTGCTATCTTCGTATTTTTAGATATGGAGGTTTCCTCAACAAAAGGGAAAACCCCAAATCATCCATTTATAGATGGAGATTCCACTACCCTCTGGTAATTTAACATAGCTATTGAAAATGGCCATAGAAATAGTTGATTTACCCACTAATAATGGTGATTTTCCATAGTTATGGAGCAGTTTACCAGAGGGTATAAACCGTCAATTTTGGGGTACCCCCATTTTAGGAAACCCCCCTTAATCGGTCCAGTGATTCCGGCGTACACGTTGGCCAGGATCAGAACGAGGCGTACACGTTGGCCAGGACACGATCGAAATGGCTAAGACAAGTCGATGAATTGTTGGGTTTATGGTGATTAAATCCATAGTTAGATGGCTTAGATGGGTGTTATAATCCAACATGTAACATCATGTAACATCATGTAACATCACTATAGGGAGTACCACCTAGTGGGATGTAGAATTGAACTCGAGGACCGAGGATTCTTATGCATGTTGAATGGACACAGGTCTCGGCGTCTTGAGAGGTGAGACTCTCCGGTTGTTGCAAAACTGCATAACAGCGGAAAATGACCAATTTTTAGATGATTTGATTTACCAATTTAAAATAGTGGTTTCTCATAGCTATCTTAAATTAAGCGTGGGTATACGGTATATCATCATATTACCATGGTACCAGTTGCACATATTAGATCACCCTTACACCACCAGTATTATCATCATATCATCATTATATCACCATACTTGGTTGGTTAATACCACTAATTACTGATGACTATCCCCATAGTTGATATAGTTCATAATGGAGGTTTCCAAAAATGGGGGTAGATTTTCCACTATAAACCATCCATTTTAGGGTGCGGACGTTCCGCCGCCATTCCGAGGACCTGCCAAAACGATCTAAGGGGCGTGCATTCGGACGTGGCAGACCTGCAGGCGAGATTGAGGGGTCGCAAAAGGTCATGTCATAGGCAAAAATCATCTATAAATGGGGATATATAGTGATATATATATATATAATGGCTATAACATGGGTCTATATGCTCGGGATATTTCATATGTGTACACACTGACACACACACACACATATTGTTTGGCTGTCGCACTGGCTGAAGCATTCGCTGCGGCGATGCAAAAATGAATTGAAGAAGTTCACCGCCTCCCAGCAACTTCATGTCCCATGGCCTCACCGAAATCTGTGCAAAGCATGGTGTGGCATGTGTCAATGACTGGGGCGGATCCTGTACCTCAGGGCATTCCTTGGGCATTCCTTGGGCATTCCTTGCTGCCAAAAGAAAATGCCTTGGCGAATGCCAAGCAC